TAAGTAATACCAAATCCAGCTGCATTGTAAGAAGCTGTCACTCTAAAATCAATTGATACTCAAAGCTGGTATCATTTCTTGTTGCTATTAGCAACAATGGAGTATCGTAGATCCTAGATAGCAAGTGATAAACTGGCCAGCCTAGGTAAAAAGGACAAAGAAGGAAAATGTTAGTTTGTAAAGAAGCAAAAATCTAAACTGATATACTGAAATAGATTCGATATTTCTCTTGTTTCTGTCCCAAATGCTTTCAATATTCTTTAGGTCAGCTATCTCGAAATTTTGAGATTCACTTTCTTGCTCATGTGTTGGTTTCAGCTTTCTGTGCTTCCTTTTCTTTTCTTTTTAACAAAAGCTGAGATTCTCTGAAAATCCATTTCTGCACCAGATGCCAAATTCCAAGTGAAAATGTAGCAACCACAGACATAGAAGATGGAGTTTTTGATATGGTTCGCTAAAATAGCCATAACTGAGCATCTTATTTGTATGATCTTTTAAGTTGTGTATATTTCTTTATCTTAAGTCTGAATGGCTCTGCCATCCTCCAGGAAGAACTAAAATAAGTCTGTCAAACAAAATGTAAGTTCTAGGAGTTTCCTGTCCTTTTCATAACTGTGAGCATATGAAGTGCAGTTCATATTGAAAAATTATGTAAGAAAGCTGCCAAGAAAGATCCAAGCAGTATTACCAATGCTGTTTCATAAGCAGTCACAGCTGCTGTTGATCCAACAGTTTTCCCTCCCTTTTTTTGAAAAGGAGTAATTACTACAATTGGGCAATGTTTTAGAAACAGTTCCGTAAAAGTAAGTGCTTTCCAGCATGTATGCAGGTAGTCCATGTCTACAGCTCTTTAAAACAACTGCATCTTTTCTTTGGATCCCCTGCGGGCGGCATTGAGCAGCTAGCCAATGCTGTGCTGTGAAAGGATGTGACTGTTTTAAAGAGTTGCAGACAAGCGCTAGTACAGACACTGGCAAAAACTTCTCTTTTGAGGGATTCCAAAAAGTTATATACTGGCCTGCAATTGAATTGTGAAATAAAAAATATTTCTGGAGCGCTGCACAGCCTTACTAATTATGACAATGCATTGCAGTTAAGAATGTAAATAGATTACTTTTAGACAGATTTGGCCCTAGCTCAGGACATATTTTCCAGAATTGTTCATTAGCATAGCATTTAGATTGGGACAGTTAACATTTCCTCTATAAATATCTAGATCACAAATTATCTGATATACATGAAACACCATCTTCTGCTTTTTGAGGACTGGCGCCAAACCGTAGACTTTACAGGCATACAATAAACTTGGATGGTGCATCCAGAAGTGAAGTTCTTATGCAAGCTTTTAATTGTCTGTAAAGAATGATATGGTTTTAAACTTGTCAAAGATAATGAGGTTATACATGAGACACTTTGATTACCAAATTATAGAGTCTATGCTTTTTTAATTGGTTCACACAGTCATTCAGTCTACCTCATTTTCAATAGCTGAGTGTATTTCCTTTCTTATGCCAATTTTAGATATAATAGACACTCTAAAATGACTTGCAATGCTGAATTGTCATCATAATTTGACCTCTGTCCTCAAATCCTTATTCTGAAAGAGCCCCATTAGAAATGTTAGGATTCTGAACTAAACATTTAAAGATTCTAACTTTGAATAAATCTGCCAGTTATTTACTTGTGATGAAATGTAACATTGTCAGTTGTGTTAATATACCATATATACCACTAAATTAGAACTGGGTTTTAATCAGCCTGAGATTGTTCATATGGAATTGTCTGTATTAATTTAGATATACCATGTAATACAGGTAGTCCTCGGCTTACAATCAACGGCACTGAAAAAAAATGACTTATGACCGTTTTTCACACGTTACAGCATCCTCATGGTCACATGATCAAAATTAGGTTGGTTGACAACTGATTCATATTTATGACAGTTGCCGTGTCCTGGGTCCATTTTTGCAACCTCCTGACAAGCAAAGACAATAGGGAAGCCAGATTCACTTAACAACCATGTTACTAATTTAACAATTGCAGCGATTCATTTAACAACTGTGTCAAAAAGGTCGTAAAATGGGGCAAAACTCACTTGACAACTGTCTTGCTTAGCAACAGTAATTGTGGGCTCAATTGTGGAGTCCTCGACTTGAGTAAATTGAGGACTACCTATATAGATCACTTCTAATTTTAAGTAAAGTCAGGGGCTGCCTATTCTGAAAATGCTGATCCATTTTCAGTTGATGAAGATGGATAGGTTCATAAACATTCATGGGAAGAGCAAGTACCAAATGTACATTGGGATGCAAACTCTTCTCCTTACATATTTGCATGCAAAGACACAGGGCAAGTATGAAAGGCTGGAGTTTGTGCTGTGACATCACACTACAATTTGTCATTTTGGTGTCATTGGGATTAGGAACGGGCTCCTATTAGTGGGTAGGAAACATAGAACATTTTGTAGCAAAGTAATAGTTTAGCAGTCATAGCCTTCCAATACAAGCCACAATTATATTAGGCATGTCACAATTCATAATTTATACAATAACATTTGGGTGCATGTGACATCACTTTCTTCCCTTGCCAATGCCATAAATATAAAATGAGCCCAGCCAGCATTAAGTAGAAATAAAGATTCAACTATCACTCTGACACCTATCCTAGAAGTGGGAAGGTACATGATATATTAATATTTTGAAAAACTTAGTGGTTTCTTGCTAGCAGTTTTTTCTTTTAATTGGATACATATTTCCAAGCAGCAAGAAAGATCGGGAAAATTGACCAGTCTTGAAGGACTCGATGATCAGAATGCTGGGAATATTGATATCAATGAGATTTCACTGTAACTAACTTTCTTGTCTCGGGCGATTCAGTTTCTAGGTGCAAGTTTAATAGTTATATAATAATTAATAGAACACAATTATATTATTATTTAATAGCCATATTATTACTATTAATACAATATTATTGAATTAATACAATTCCATGTAATGGAATTTTCCCAAGGCTAAGATATTATGGTCAAAAAAAAAAAGTAATATTATTGTTAGGCTGAATCCTTAGTTATCTCTGAGCTTGGTGGTTTTCTTGCAGACATTTCGTTACCAAATTAGGTAATGTCATCAGTGCTAGTAGGGAGTGGGGATATTGCTCTCAATTTATATTCTAGTGGCTTGCCCTGTCAGTGTTAGTAGGAGTGTCTTGGTATTATTGTTAGAAAATATTATTGTTATTTCCAAGACCAAAAATTTAAAACATTGAATAGATAACCTAGAAATGAGAATGTGTGCATCTTAGTGATTTATTAGAAAAAAATAAACAGGACTTTATTTCTTAGTCAGTGTATCAACCCATATAAAAACAACCATGATCTATTACTGGAGAAAACCAACAAGATTTTTGGTCCATGTACAGATTGTGATGACACCCTCACCAATTTATGGCATTACATTGGCAGTAGGAAAATCATTACTCCTACTGCTGGATAATAAAAGTGACACTGCACTGATTAATAGGCTTTGGATTGTGTTAGTGCTGGTCTCTCTTAGTATATAAAAAGGGGGGAAACGTAACTTTTCATCATTGCCAGAGTTCCATGTTTAAGTCTCCTTTATAGGTTCACCACATAAGCCAAATAGTTAAAGTGTATAGTAATCCAAGATTTATCCTGATAACCTCTCCTCTTAAAGCAACTGTAGCTCATTCCAGCTTCGAATATCAGTTTTTATTTACATTGCATAAGTCGTACGCAGCTGTAAAACTTTCTCTGTCACATTCTTCATTGCAAAACACCATTGGGTAAGATCAAATAAAGCTGAGTAGCATTTGTAGCATTGTGTAGGAATGCTGTAAACCTTGCCTACTGCAACTACTGCAATTCTAGCTCGGCTCAGCTATCCATCATGACTCTCAAAACACTGGAGAAAATTGGGAGAAACGATGGAATTACTTAACCTGATTTAGTAGAATATCTAAAAAAGATTGGTTGGACAAAATGGAATATGGTTACAATGAAGGATGCATCATAAAGTTAATGCTTTGCTGTAGTCACTTTATAGAACCACATCGATACTCATGAGGTTTTTAAGACTGCAAAGGTTTTCAGCTTCTACAGCAAATTCCGAATGATTTAGAGCTGAGAAAATATTAACAACTGGCAATTTGGAATGTTTTCCATTTAATATTTATTGATTTATTTATTTTTTTGTGAACAATTCTAAAAATAATAGTACTGTTTTTGTTACAATCCTTTGAGTCAAGCTTGACTCCTGAGGACCTGGATAGATCCATGCAATTTTTAGGATAACATTTTCAGAAGTGGTTAGCCATTATCTCCTTCCTAGGGCTGAGAGAGACAGGCTGGTCCAGTTAAGGCAGGGATGTCAAACTTGCATTGTCACGGCAGCATCACGTGACGTATGGTGACTTTTTTCCCCTTCACTAAAATGAGCATGAGTATCAGAGGTGGGTTCCAGCAGGTTCTGACTAGTTCTGGAGAACCGGTAGCGGAAATTTTGAGTAGTTTGGAGAACCAGTAGTAAAAATTCTGACTGGCCCCACCCCCATCTATTCTCTGCCTCCCGAGTCCCAGCTGATTGGGAGGAAATGGGGATATTGCAGTATCCTTCCCCTGGAGTGGGGTGGAAATGGAGATTTTGCAGTATCCTTCCCCTGGAGTGGGAAGGGAATGGAGATTTTGCAGTATCCTTCCCCCTGGAGTGGGGTGGGACTGGAGATTTTACAGTATCCTTCCCCTGCCACACCCACAAAGTCATGCCACGCCCACAAAGCCATGCCCACAGAACCGGTAGTAAAAAAATTTTGAAACCCACCATTGATGGGTATGGCCAGCATGTGACACGTATGGCCAGTGGGCCGCAAGTTTGACAGCCCTGAGTTAAGGTTTCCTTACTCCTAATTAGCACCTGAACAACCACACCAAAGTGACCCTTTAACAATACAGTCCTATGTTATAAATTACGCCTGCTTGATTTTAGGGATGAATATGAAGAGGATGGATTTTGTCAACCATACCGGGGAATTGCATGTGCAAGATTTATTGGAAATCGAACCATTTATATGGAATCTCTGCATATGCAAGGAGAAATAGAAAATCAAATAACTGGTAAGTAAAACTTTTGCTTTCTTTTATTCTCAGTTAGATTGCCATTGTCCTTGTTATAATCTACAATTCTGAATTTCAAATCCTTAATGTACTATATGTTAATTTTACATGTTCAACAGAATATATTCTATGGCACTTAAAATATATTTAGAAGAAAAAATATATTGCTCATTTCGAAAAGCTGCAATGAAAATGAAACTTTAAGAAAGATAGTAAAAAAGCAGCCCTGCATATTATTTTAATTGTATTCTTAGCTTTTCTAGTGAGCATGTTGAAAAACAATGCATTTATCATAATTTTATTCTGATTTCAACCATGTTTTAGAATACACAATTGATCAAATTTAATTCTTAATCTTACTTACTTGTGGACCTCTAATTGCATAAACTTAATTTTCTTTAAAAGCAAGATCACATACTTATCAAATAATAAATATTGGGGCCTACTTGATACTTAATCACTCTTTGATTAAGACAGCCCAGTCCAATCAATAGAAAGGAAAACAGATGTTAATATAAACTGTAGCAGAGTATTTTGAATACAAAAAAGGGTTTGTTTTTTTTAAAAAATGCTTGTCTCTCCAAAAACCATACTGCCTATTGTGTCTTTATTTGGAAGTAGTTGTTAGTGCATATGTTCTACTATAAATTTGCTACTGTCTCAATTGATTTGGTATTTGTATGCTGCAGCTGCCTTCACAATGATTGGAACTTCCAGTCATTTATCGGATAAATGTTCGCAGTTTGCTATTCCATCGCTGTGCCATTATGCTTTCCCATATTGTGATGAGACCTCTTCTGTTGCAAAACCACGAGATCTGTGCCGGGATGAGTGTGAGATTCTGGAAAATGTGCTTTGCCAAACTGAATACATATTTGCAAGATCCAATCCTATGATTTTGATGCGGTTGAAGCTGCCGAATTGTGAAGATCTTCCCCAGCCTGACAGTCCTGAGGCTATCAACTGTATCCGTATTGGCATCCCTATGGCAGATCCAATCAATAAAAGTAAGTGGCAGTTACGTTGCCTTGTATGTGAGATATCCCTAAAACGGATCAAGGGCACAGTTGATAGAGTCAAAGTCTGAATAATTCAGCCAATATCTTTCACCAAGCAGACCTTATTTATCAGAGATATTGTTAGAAGAGAAATAGAGATGACTACCTCCATCATGACTAGTGGAGTAAAATCTGCAGGGACTCATTGTTCGAAGAACACTTTTAATATTTTAAATCAGCAGTTACTTTTATATTATTCTGTTCCATTTAATGTCTGGTATATCATGATTTGTTCATTAAAATATCTTCTAGCTATTCCATTGAAATAAACACTTAGTGCCATTGTCACTTTGTAAGGGAGATACATGGCATAAAAATCTAATAAAAGAAATAAAAGTGTTTATTGTACTCCAGTTACTATTAATAAAATATTAAGCTGTTTTAGAAATAAATATAATGTCTCCTGCCAAGATAAGGGATTAGTTTCAAGATTTTGAGGAAGCTTTTGAGTTCTTTTGCATATTTCTTAAACTATTTTAAAGAAGTGTATAACTTTTAAAAAGAGTATTGTTGCATACATCTCTGTATGTAAGACTTGAATTAACTTTCAGGTCATAAACAAGAAGAAAGAAAAGAAACTCATCCAGAGAGAACATTTAATATTGTACAGCTTGTCATTTATATGGATAGATGCAATTTCCATTACCCCACCAGTTAGTTAGAACTGAAGAAGCTTTGTGGATGAGTAGTGAAACATTTTCAAGGGGAGAAAAAACCCAAAGAAGTCCTGTTGTCTTTTGAAACGAAAAGGGGGGGGGGGAAGCACCTTTAGGATGGTGATTGAGAATCTCCATAGACATGTGTGCCTAGTGTTCTTTTAATGCATCACAGAAAAATGATCTTTCTGTTACAGATCACAAATGTTTCAACAGCACAGGAATGGACTATCGAGGGACCATCAGTGTAACCAAATCTGGACGACAGTGCCAGCCGTGGAACTCCCAGTATCCCCACACCCACACATTCACTGCTGTCAGGTACCCAGAGCTGAATGGAGGCCATTCCTATTGCCGAAACCCGGGCAATCAGAAAGAGGCACCCTGGTGTTTCACCTTAGATGAAAATCTCAAGTCCGAACTTTGTGACATCCCCGTCTGTGGTAAATATAATGAACGCTTTTTATGAAAATGAAATGAGATTGTTTGTTGTGTTTTGCAGTCGGCTGCAGTTCCAGAGCCAAACTATGTGGCACATTCATCACATGTTTATAGAATTGATTTACCCCGACAATTTTAATTTGGAATAAAAGTCCAGCTGCAGAATTTAAATACAGCCCCTGTTTATGGACCAAATTGAGCCTCTTGGTGGTCTTCTGTTTGGTGGCTACTTGCCATTTAAAGGATGTGTTTTCTAATGGCCTCACTTGGCAGGAGGGTAAAAGGCCAGCAGGAAGAAAAATTCTGAAAACCAGCAGGGGCCCGTAATCCAGATCTGGAGCATGTGCAGATCTAAAACTTTTGCCCCAAAACAAAATTCTTTGGCTCAGCATGCTTATTTGAACAAATGACTATTGTGTGAAACATGACTCTAAATAACCATTATTTTGTCTGAAATGTTATTGAGAGCCTCTTATTAAGTGGTTAGAAATATGCCAGCAAGATTTTTTGGAAAAATGACAGCAATACTTCCCAAGTGCTTTCTGGTAGCCATGTAGAAGCAACAATTTAAAATATTTTTAGGGAGTCAGAAAAGCTGTCTAATGGGTTCAGAGGAAGAGTGTTTGATGATTAAAAAAAATTAGCATAAGCTAAATATTTCCATTGAGCCAAGCTAAGGAGGCCAGCCCTTTAAAAAAAAGGGGGGGCGGAAGATGGGCTTAATCATTGAAGTAAGATACCTTACTACCTGAAGTAAGACAATACCATTTTTGAAACAATCATTTCTTGAATAAGCCAGAATTGTATAGTGTCATATAGTGCGATAAGCAATTAGCCACAGTTTTAAAACCATGACATGGGTTCCAATAACATGCTTCAGTATCTAACAATGACCACTAGATGGCAACATAGAGATAAAGAAAAGTCTTTACTGCCATCTTGTGGTATCAATAATTTTGCAAACTTGACAGATTTAAGAAACTAGGGGTTTTTCTTCTTGCCGATCAGGATTATGAACCAAAACGAAACCATAAAATTTTATGAAAATCATAAAATTTAATTTGTAGAACAACTTAAGCTAGGTTAGAAAAACGTGATTCAACCAACCAGGAAGCAAAGTAATTACAGAGATTGGGGAGCATTAAAGCTTGCAAGTAAAACACTGCTAAAATATCAAAGATTCTTATTTTATAAGAAAAGGAGTTAGGACATTCTGCCTTGCCTTTGATATAGACCTCGTCTTACGTCTTATGTTTGCCCAATTAGAAAGAACTAAAAAGGTGAAATGCAAATTTTGCTGCCAAAAATTCAAATATCTGACTTATTCTCATCGGTAATGATGCATCCAGCAACTGTGATGTTCTCCTGTTGCTTGTGTCTTTCATCACTGTGACATGTGGTTTCTTGTCTTGGGAGCTCACATTTCCTGAGATCTTTTGGGAGTTCATATCTTCTTTTCCTGTTTTCCTGACTTTGCACATCAAAATATCTTATCTTATGGTAGTGCTCAAACTCCCACTCACTGCTTTTAGCAGGGCCTGAACTACCTAAATGCTCAGATTGTTGTATGAAATCCCTAAAGCATTTATTATGGCTGTCTGAAGAAAGTGCTGCATATTGAAAGAGATCAGCTGTTAGCAATCTAAAAGGAAGTTAATGTCTTGCAAGACCAACAGTGAAGAAGACCACTGACTTTATTATTAAGAAATGGATTAAATAATTGCACAGTTCTCTTGTTTTGAAAACTGAATAGGTTTATCTGTCTGCAGAAGCAGTCATCTTCCCAGGATGGAGAGCAATGGAAGGCTCTTTATATATATTTCCAGGAAGTAAACATGACAAAATGATTCTTAATCATCTGAATTTGAGAATTGACCCTGGGGGGGGGGGATAAAAAACCAAAACATTGGTTTTGGGTTGCAGCTCCATATGTAAGAATACAATTAGGAAAAAAAGATTTGAGGATTAAATTGCATTTGATTTTTAGGAACGAAATTCTGCCTGAATCTTCTTACCTTCAGGTTCATGCATGGAGAGAAAGAAATGCAAATAATAGACAATATACTTTTTATTCAAATAGACACTCATCATGGTCTAGAATAGACATGATATGGATGACAATGGAATTGACTTTTAACATAGAAGAAATTGACATAGAAGCAAACACCTGGGCAGATCATAACCCAATGACAATGAAATGGAAAGGACAAAGGAGAAGATCTAGATGGACCCTAAATAATACAGTACTAAAAGAAAAGGAATTTGTACAGAAAATGGAGAAAGAATTGGCTTTCTTTTTTAAAGAAAATAGAAAAGAGGATACATCAATGCAAAATCTTTGGAATACAATGAAGGCCTATGCTAGAGCTTTGATAGTAGACTATACAAGGAAACGAAACACTAAGAAAAGACAAGCTTATAAAACATTAGCGGAAGATTACAAGAAACTTGAAAAAGAATTACAGAAATTTATACCAACAAAAAGGACACTAAAATAAAAATGGACACAATTAAACATAAAATGGGATTAATAGAAAAAGAGGATTTAGCACAAAAAATTAGAAGTGCCAAACAGAACTATTTTGAAGACGCAAATAAACTAGGTAGATGGTTAGCATACAAACTGAAAAAAGAGAGAGAATCAAGAAAAATAATACAACTAGTAGATGATCAAGGGCAAATTAGATATGGGAATAAAGAGAAGAAAAAATTATACAAGATTATTATAGAAAACTGTATGAGCAAGAGAATATTGAGGAGGAAAGTGTTAAACAATACCTGCAGAAAGCGAATCTACCCCAGATTTCAAAAGACACTGAAATGATGTTAGAAGGAAATATAAGGATGATGGAATTAACTGAAGCACTTAAAAAACAAAAGAATGGGAAGGCACCAGGCCCGGATGGACTGCCAGCAGAATATTACAAGACACTACAGGAATCGTTGAGTCTCCCATTGTTAGAAGTCATGAATGAAGTCATGTCAGAGATGAAACTACCCAAGTCATGGTCAGAAGCATATATTACACTTGTTCCAAAGGAGGATACCGACCCACAACAAATCAAGAATTATAGGCCTATATCCCTGCTAAATTCAGACTATAAAATCTTCGCCTCAATACTGGCAGAAAGATTTAAAAGATATCTAAATAATTTCATACATTCTGATCAAAATGAGTTTCTGCCAAAAAGACAGATTAAAGATAATATGAGGATAATTCTGGACACTTTGGAATATTATGAGGCACATCCTGAAAAACAAATGGCTTTGATATTCCTAGATGCACAGAAAGCCTTCGATAATGTGAATTGGCGATTTATGATATTACAGCTGGAGCAGATGGGCTTTGGTAGAAAATTTATTCAAGCCATAGAAGCTATATATCACAAACAAACAGCAAAAGTAATGATAAATGATGAATTGACAGAGTCTATTGAAATAAAAAAAGGAACGAGACAAGGTTGTCCACTGTCACTTCTGTTGTTTGTGTTAACATTAGAAGTGCTAAACAGAAATATTAGAGAAGAAAAAGATATAAAAGGAATGAAAATTCAAAAGGAAGAATACAAATTGCAAGCGTTTGCAGACGACCTGGTTTTTATTCTTGAAGACCCATTAGAAACAGCAATTAAACTGATAGACAAGATAGGAAAATATGGAAAAGTAGCAGGTTTGAAAATAAATAAAGACAAAACGAAGATTTTGACAAAAAATATGTTAACAAAATAAAAAGAAGAACTGGCGGAAGTATTGAAGATACAGGTCACAAATAAGGTTAAGTACTTGGGGATATACTTGACAGCAAGATGTAGTACACTTAAAGAGAACAAATTATAATAAACTCAAACAACAGATAGTGACAGACTTGGCAAAGTGGGAAAATTTACAACTATCATTAATAGGGAGAATATCAACGATTAAGATGAATATATTACCTAGAATTCTATACTTGTTCCAGACAATTCCAATTAGGTTGGAGAAAGATTATTTTGAAGATTTAAATAAAATAGTGTTGAAATATATTTGGCAGGGGAAAAATGCAAGGATAAAACTAAAATTGTTGCAAGATGCTAGAATAAGAGGAGGATTTGGCTTGCCTAATTGGGAATTATATTATCAAGCAACAAATTTGATGTGGCTCAAGGAATGGATAATGTTAAGAAATAATAGATTATTGACTCTAGAAGGACATGATTTGTTGTTGGGCTGGCATGCTTTTTCATGGTATAAGGGAACAAAAACACAGGGGTATTTTAGAAGACATTTTATACGAGAGGCTTTGCTATTAAACTGGGACAAGATTAAAAGACAACATTATTTTAAAATTCCAGTCTTGTTATCAACTATTGAAGCATTCTCATATTCAATAACATTTAGAAAGGAACAAATTGTTAGATATAGTGAATTATTGAATGAAAAGGGTGAACTTAAATCTATGCAAGAATTAGAAGAACAAGGTATAAAGATGAATTGGTTTTCCTATTTGCAAATACATTCTAGATATGATAAAGATTTTAAGACAGAAGGTTTTTATGATAATTTGACTAAGATAAAATTTTAACAGGTACTGATGAAAATGTAATTAAAAAACTACATGGATATTTATTAGAGCTTAAATTGGAAGAAGAACAAGTTAAAGAAACAATGATTGTTTGGGGAAAAAATTTTGGACATGGAATTGACTTAGAGAAATGGCAAAAACTGTGGTCGCAAAATTATAAAATGACAATGTCAACTGCATATAAAGAAAATTTGTATAAGATGTTCTACAGCTGGCATTTACCCCCGACGAGAATAGCCAGAATATTCAAGAATAAATCTGAAAAATGTTGGAAATGTCATCAGATACTGGGTTCATATTACCATATGTGGTGGACATGTGCAGAAGCCAAAAGATACTGGACTAAAATCCACACATGGTTGGAAAAAATGACAAAAAAACATATAGATTTTAAACCAGAGATTTTTTTTATTGGGGATTGTACCTGAAATATATAATAGAGAATTGAGATACCTGATTGTGAATGTATTAACAGCGGCTGGAATTGTGTTTGCTAAAAATTGGAAAAATGAGAAAATACCAACGCAAGATGAAGTTATCAAGAAAATAACGGAATGTGCTGAAATGAGCAAATTGACATTTGAAATTAGAGAACAAGAAGATAAACAATATTATAAGATATGGGACTTATTTTATTAATGGTTAGATAAAAAAATATGGAAATGAAAGATGATAGAGATTTTTATAATACAAGAATTCTAGAATTATATAAAATATAACATAAAGAACTATTACTATTAGACCGATTTAGTGATGAAATGAATGTTATAATATAAATTAATTCAATCTTAGAATATTTTGTACAAAATGAGGGAAGAATAGCTATAGTTAAATAAATGATCAATGAGAACAATAATACATAGATATATATTAGATTGATAATATAAGAATTTAGGTAAACTGTAAGCTATGAATATGGTGAAGACGCACAAAAGACTTGTAACCAACGGACACACTGTGTGTAATTGAAGATGATTTTATGTTTGTATGAATGTTTGTTTAAAAATAAAAAAGGGGCTTTTGCCTAGAAAAAAGAAAAAAAGATTTGAGGATTAAATTGCATTTGATTTTTAGGAATGAAATTCTGCCTGAATCTTCTTACCTTCGGGTTCTTAAAATAATAGTATCTGTTGGCTCTTTTGTTGTAATACCATTTTCTATGTAGTTTTTACCTGAAGGATCTGAAAAGCGTTCCACCAAATTTGGTTTGCCGAAGATATTTGTTAGCAAGTTTCCAGTATGATTAAAAAAAAAAAAAAAAGACAAAATGTACTCTTCGAGGAAGAGCTTTGCAGACAGACAGCCATTTATATATTGCACCATTGGCATTGTGGTTGAACATTTTTGTAATGTTACTTACATAAACCCACACTCTGCAGAGAAAGCTGATTTTTTGTTCTATAGCAAGATACTTTAGTGTTGCAAAACCATCATTGGCCTTTAGACAAACATTAATATAAAACTGTTGTTATGTAATGCCCAAGGATTCATGTTTTTGTCACATGTTATATGGCTGATTGCAAAACAAATACCCTCAAATTTGTAGAAATGGGTATTGTTTTGTCTAGCTTATCTCACTTTATACTTAGCAATTCTTTACTTGTGGAAACACCACAACAGTGGCATGTGTCAGACCTTTCAAAGATGCTTAAAATGTAACGATAAAGTCAGCGCTTGTTAGCAATGTTAAAGGTGCTCCTTGAAGTTTATTGCTTGAAGGAGGGTTGTTGCTGAATAAGCTAAGATTTCCCAGTTGAATTTATGGCTACCTGTAGATAGCCATGGATTGATTGATTTAAATGAGGTCAAATTTGATAACCTAAAGGTCACAAGTGAGAGAACCTCTGCTATTGTTTCTGCTGTTTCTGCTTGCTCAGGAAATAAAACAAGCATGAAAATGTGCAATAGGCTTATACATCTTTATATACAAAAATTCACTTTAATTCAATTTATAACAATTGCGTTTTTTTTAATCCTTATGCTTTTCCCTTCCTTTCCCTTCCCCTTTCTTTCTTCTGAATTTAGATCCAAAGGACTCCAAGGAAAAGAATAAAATGGAAATTCTTTATATATTGGTACCCAGTGTTACAATTCCTCTAGCTATTGCCTTATTGTTTTTCTTCATCTGCATTTGCCGAAATAACCAGAAATCATCTTCTCCACCCGTGCAAAGACAGCCTAAGCATGTCAGAGGGCAGAACGTAGAGATGTCTATGCTCAATTCATATAAACCAAAGGTACTGTGAACCAAGTCTGATGCATAAAAATGAGAAACCTTTGTTTTAGGCTCAAAGAACCTTGGCTCTTTGGGAGCTCTGCTTTTCTTAATGATGCCTCCTATCTGGTTCTATTTCACCATTTTATGGAAATCACTCTCTTATTATTGTCTTGTCGCTGGCTGTGATGTCAGAAGTTTTTTTTAGAAATAAAACAACGCTGCGTTTTGATAGATCATGACTGAGCAAAGAAAATAAATTCCCCAAATTTTGAATACAAAAGGGTGTTAGGTAGGGCTGTCCAATCTGCTCAGCAAAACCTGGGGGCAACAAAGAAATACAGAAAGCAATTCTGCTGGCATTTCATGGAGTTTTGTAGCTCTGGGCTGGTAGCCCTTCTTTAGATTTGCCTGATTTCCCCTGGGGATAAGCCCATTTGAACTCTATCAGCTTCCTTGAGTAGACATACATAATTCTATTGTTATGCTGGCATCTTAAGCACAACACATTAGAGAGTAATCCCTAATTTAATGTGCACTTCCTACACATTTAGGATTTTCCCCCTAATTATCCTCCTCTGTATCATAAATTGAATCAATTGTTGTCATTAATGTAACAGAAATGACTGATAAAGACAGAGTGGGATAAACTCCCTTTGTGCTTGGTTTTCTTTGGCACAATGTCTCCTCTGTTTTTTTTACACTTCTATGCATCTTGTACACCACCAAGTGACAAATACCTGTCAAACAAAAGCTAAGCAGATTTATAACTGCTTAACTCCAAATGAACCCCCTTCTGCCAAATTTTATGACTTCATTTTCTTTCAGTTTTCCACCAAGTTGGTTAAAACAGACAGCCCTGCTTGAGGTCAGACAGAGGTCATTTCACTTTCATTACTAAAATATAATTTACAATATGCCAGACCTAAACAAGTTTTAGCCTAAAGGATTTGTATAATATAAACCATCTGCTTCGCAATAATACATCTAATTTCCCGCCATCCTGCAGTCAGATAACTGCCTGTTCAAATGCCACTACAATATATTAATTCACACAGTATTTATCTAAAAATACATAAAATGATGAGCAAAATTACAATTTATTTTATGTGTCCCACTTTCAATTACCCTTCCTCCCTCCCTTCCTTCCTTCCTTCCTTCCTTCCTTCCTTCCTCATAGTGAATTATAAATGAGATAAGAGTGAAGGATCAGTTACATTCCAAAGGGATGTGAGCATTTAGCTCTGCATTCCTTGTGTCTCTGCCGCAAAATATTTGTTTCCACCAAAGGAAGCCAATGACTTCAAATAGGGTCACTCAGAAGAATGAAGCCTTGCCATTTTCCCAGTTCTCCCCAGCAACTCTGCTATAAGCTCCCACCCTCTGGAACCAACTTCCTCTGGGACTCCGGTTGGCCCCTGACCTCCGCACCTTCCGCCACGACTTAAAGACATGGTTGTTCAGCCTGGACTGGGCGGGTTAACATGTATTTTAACACTTTTTTATTTGGATTTTATTGTTGTGAGCCGCCCTGAGATAGGGCGGCATATAAATCAAACAAAATAAATAAATAAATAAATAAATAAATAAATAAATAAATAAATAAATAAATAAATAGTTGTTGAAAAAGGTTAGGACTGGACTTCCACTTCCCCGGTGGTTTCTCCCTTCTTCCCAACAACCTTGTGATAACTACAGATAGTCTTCAGTTTATGACCAAAATTGGGACCAGAACTTCCATTGCTAAGTGATGTGGTCCTTATGTGAGTTGTGCCTGATTTTATTATCTTTTTTGCAACAGTTGTTAAACTAATCACTGCAGACCTTAAGCTAATTGCTGTGGTCATTAAGCAAATCTGGTAGCCCCATTGACTTTGCTTCTCAGAAGCCCCCTGAGAAGGTCACAAATGGTGATCACATCACCCTGGAAAACTGCAATCATCATAAATATATGCCAGTTGCCTTCCACCCAAATTTTTATCATGTAACTGCAGGGACTTTGCAGTGGTTATAAGTGCAAGAACCGGTCATAAGTCACTTTTTTCAGCATCATAATAACTTTGAATGGTGATTAAATGAATGGTTATAAGTCAAAGACTACCTGTAGGCTAAGAGGGAAGTGCTTCCAGTGACTGTTCAAGATTCTATCCAAGTCAGCTTTGCCTTTCTTCTGTCCTATTGCTGAGGGGATAAAAAGAAGAAAAGCTACAAAGCACATCTTGAATAGGAATCGCTAGTCCTGGGATTCCCAGCCCCCGGGTCTCGGCCCACTACCAGGCCATGACCTATTTGGAATTGGTTGGCTGGAGCGTGTTCATGCAACTCAACTTGTGTGAGCGAAGGCATTCACGTGTGGGTGCACCGGCCACCACTTCCGCAAGGGCTGTGTCTGTGCACATGCATCCCAGGGTACTGCTTGTATGGCCCAGTTCCCCTCTCCCCCACAGCCAGGCCGCCAAGCGGCATAGACTGGGGACCACTGACCTAGTCCACTTTCTTTCCTATTAAGATAAGGAGATAATGTGTATTTGGGAATGGCTAGGGGCAAAGTGTTGACTCATGGTTTTAGATGTATTTGAGGTCAGCACATATCCACACAAATTGGCAATCCAAGCTACTGATGAACAACTGTACATTCCCCACAGCTAAGAAAAATATATCTACCCAAGATAATAACTTTCCTTGAAAATGTTGCCTATAAAATTAAAGCTTATATAACGGATTGTGAAGTTTTCATGACAAACATCGTAGTTTACTTTTTCAATGTCTTCCAGTACTACCATATCTAAAACCATTCAAATGCCAATCATGTGATTCAAAACTATCTTCATGTATTTTCTTCTTTCTAACAGAGCAAAGCCAAAGAGCTGCCCCTTTCTGCCGTCCGATTTATGGAAGAATTGGGTGAATGTGTTTTTGGAAAAATCTATAAGGGACATCTTTACTTACCAGGAATGGACCATGCTCAGCTAGTCGCAATAAAGACCCTTAAGGACTGTAATAATCCACAGCAGTGGGCAGAATTCCAGCAAGAAGCCTCGCTGATGGCAGAATTACATCACCCAAACATCGTTTGCCTTCTTGGGATTGTGACACAAGAGCAACCAGTCTGCATGCTTTTTGAATATATGAACCAAGGAGACCTCCATGAATTTCTTATTATGCGATCTCCACATTCAGATGTTGGATGTAGCAGTGATGAGGATGGTACGGTAAAATCCAGTTTGGACCATGCTGATTTTCTGCACATAGCTGTTCAGATTGCAGCAGGAATGGAATACTTGTCGAGTCATTTTTTTGTCCATAAGGATCTGGCTGCTCGCAATATTTTAATTGGAGAACAGCTCCATGTGAAGATTTCTGATTTGGGACTGTCAAGAGAAATCTATTCAGCCGATTATTACAGAGTTCAAAATAAATCCCTCCTGCCCATTCGTTGGATGCCACCAGAGGCAATTTTATATGGAAAATTCTCTTCTGATTCAGACATCTGGTCCTTTGGTGTTGTCTTGTGGGAGATTTTTAGTTTTGGTCTTCAGCCCTATTATGGATTTAGTAACCAAGAAGTCATTGAGATGGTCAGGAAACGACAGCTTTTACCATGCTCTGAAGACTGCCCTCCCAGAATGTACAGCTTGATGTCAGAATGCTGGCATGAGCTACCATCTAGGAGACCAAAATTCAAAGATATCCATGCCAGACTGCGCTCTTGGGAAGGGATATCAAGTCATACTAGCTCTACTACTCCTTCTGGTGGAAATGCTACCACTCAAACTACATCTCTCAGCGCAAGCCCAGTTAGCAACCTAAGCAATCCCAGGTACCCTAACTACATATTTCCAGCACAAAGTATGCCACAGGGCCAAATAACTGGATTTCTTGGCCCACCAATACCTCAAAACCAGCGATATATTCCTATTAATGGATATCCGATACCTCCTGGATATGCTGCGTTTCCAGCTGCCCACTATCAACCTGCAGGTCCACCAAGGGTCATTCAACACTGTCCTCCACCCAAAAGTCGTTCACCAAGCAGTGCAAGTGGATCAACAAGCACCGGTCATGTGACCAGCTTGCCTTCTTCAGGATCTAATCAGGATGCCAATATCCCCTTGCTGTCTCATATGTCAGTGCCAAATCATCCAAGTGGGATTAGCATAACCGTTTTTGGAAACAAGACTCAAAAACCCTACAAAATTGACTCCAAACAACCATCTTTAGATTCTAGTATTCATGGGCATAATGAAACTGTGATTTCAGCAGAGATGTAATAAATAAGGGAGACCTTTGTAAATGAATCTATTTACAATATGAACTAGAGGGTTTTAGAGATTTATATTCAAATATTTTATTGGAGATTTTTTCCAGCTGTATAAAGAGGTGTTTGCAATAAGTATCTTCTGTGAAGTTCTTAACAGGAAGTGCCATTCAATTTTTAAAAAATGTACTAACACTCAACACTGTGGCTGCAAATTTATTTTACAAATAGTAAAGGACAAAAGTATTTCTGTGTTTTAAGAAACATTTAATCATGGGTTTTTTTAAGTGAAATGTTTTATGTTTCAGCAGTTTGACTATTTTGAACACATGGTGATGAAATGTTAGGAAAATTAATTATACTTCTGTAGGATGAAAATTTCACTATTGGTCTCACGCTATACCCAAATGCATATTCCATTAAGCCAGAACAGTGTTTCTCAACCTCAGCTGCTCCCAGAATTCTCCAGCCAGCATATCGACACCTCTTAAAACTTGCTGAGGTTGAAAAATCTTGAGTCAGACTACAACCAAACGTACTGCTGAATTCATACCATACAATACACTAAACTAAATTTGTGAAGTGTTTCTTGATTAAGCCACAGTTGCCTGGGTTCACACAAAATATTAAGGCATAAGCTAGGATTTACAAACCACAAACTAGAGTTCAAAAATACTTCACATACCGTATTTTTCAGAGTATAAGGCGCACCTTTTTCCCCCCTAAAAGAGGCTGAAAATTTGGGTGCGTCTTATACTCCGAATGTAGCTTTTTCGAAGCTTTTTTTCAGCCCTAACGAGGCACTAACGAGACACTAGCTAGCGATCTTCCCAGCTTTGCCTGCTCCCTCAACTCTCCGCTGTGCTTTAACAAGGTGCTAGCAAGTGAAGCGATCTCCATGCTTTGCTCCGACTCTCAGCTGTTCTTTAGAAGCTTTTTTTCAGCCCTAACTAGGCACTAGCCAAGTGAAGTGATTTCCCCACCCCTCTTTGCCTGCTTTTCTCATTGCTGCTTCCTCTCCGCTGTGCCTTAGAAGCTGTTTTTTTATTCCCCAAGCAGGGGATAAAAAACCAGCAAAATAATGTGCTGAAGCTGACCAGACTAAGGACACTAGCCAGATGAGTATCTGATAGGCAGATTTTTTTTTCCTATTTTCCTCCCCAAAAACTAAGCTGCGTCTTATACTCCGGTGCATCTTATACTCCGAAAAATACGGTACTTACTTTGTGTGTTGTCTGAATTAATCCATTGGCAGAGTTCACATTGTGATAAACCACAATGGTTTTGTGATTTTTGGCTTAGACATTGAGGTTTCTAAATGCCATGGCTTAGCATTATGTGGATTTAGATCAGTGAAGCTTGTTTAACAAATTAAACCAACAGTGTTTCAAGGCTGCCAGTGACTAGCTTCACATGCTAAACCATAATGTGGTTTACATTGACTTATAAATAGCCCTCAAGTTACAATCGTTCATTCAATAGCCATTTAAACATGTGACAGCACTGAACAAAGGGGACTTACAATGTGTCTTCAGAATTCTGGCCATTGCAGCACCCCTCCAATCACATGATAGCAATTTCCAATATTCCCTGCCAGCTTCCCCGCAAGCAAAGTCAGTGGGGAAGCCAGCAGGAAGTCAGAAGTTGCAGTCATGTAAGGCTCTCACTTAGTGGCCCACATGATTCTCATTTAACAATGACAACTGGGACTGTCACTAAGTCATGCAGTCACATGACATCATTCTTTATGACCACCTCACTTAATATTGGCAATTTTAGTCCCCATTGCTATTGTAACCCAAGGGCAACCTGTATTCTGTATTTGAATCCAGGCACTATATTGTGTAAATCATGTTTTTAATATTGGGTTGACATTCCCCAATTTGGACCTTTTTCAACTATGATTAATGAAATAATGATTTAGTACGATAGCTAAATCAGGCCAATGACAAGTATCATTTTTATCCCATGCTTTGATACTTATGGCACAGTCATCTGATTTTTGTTTTTTCTTCTAGGCATCCATATTAGAAATTAAAACGGTATGCAATATCAAACATGTATTCAATTATGCTTTGCCCATGCTAAGCATAACGTGTTTTTAGGGATTTTTCCCAGCAATTTGTAGTCACTGGTTTGTGAATTTTGGACGTATGATCTGTGAACCTAGTCATCCCGTTTGCCCTTGTTAGATAAATTATTTTCAAAAAACAGTCTCTAATGATAAATCTACAACCATTTATAAAACTCAAAATGAATAATTTTGTATTAAGAAATGTGTTCATAGCAGAGTAAAGCAAATAAGACATTTAAAAAGAAAAACCTTCATGAAACCACATACATTAAATGAATGAAAAATATATTTCTTAATTTTATATCTGTAGTTGCAATAGAATTTTGTATCCTTTTGTTGCTATGCAACCCTTTAATTAAATATTTCAATTCTTATTTTATAATAAACAGACAATCAGTTTTCCCAGTAATATTTATTATTTCAATTAAATCAGTAGCTTTTCTAGTGTTATCCCTGAAATTCTACATTCCATTAGATGTACACAATAATTTTATAGAAATTGCCTATAATTTTTGTATGTCATTTCAAATAATGTGAATTAGAATTATTTTTTACTAGAAAATATGGCCTTTGTGTTATTGAAATTTATGCAGATATAAACTATCAGAATAATTTGAAACCACTGTAAAATTGTATAAATTACAGCTTCTTGGAAGTTTTTAAAATTTGAACAGATTTTGAATGGTTGAGGTACACCATCTTTCAGACACTTGACGTAATTTTCTTCTTTTTGCACAAAAATGTTTTTGTATAGCAGAATTGAAAATACATCTTGCTTTTCATTTTTTTGGTTTATTTCTCTTTTTTTTCATTAATGAAGATGTCTTGAAATATAGAGTGACTTGAGGAACCATTTTGATTTTATTTGGTTATTTTCACTGCATGCGTTTATTTACTGTATTACTTTATAGATTGTTTTCATTAAGTTTATTGCACTAAAGCATGAATGTGTAATAAGACATGGCTATTTTATACAGACATTAATTGCATTTTTGTATCTTGGACACTAGAGTAACATTAAACACTGATTATTTTAAACCACTGGTTTTGAAAACATGGCTAAGATAAAGATAGAATGTCTTGGGGAACATAATATAATAATCACTCATTTATAGAAACTACATCTTTCTCACCACCTGCCTCCTTTAAATATCACATAAGACAATTGTCCATTGATTACTCTTAATTCAAAAAAAAGTACTTTCTTAATAAGCATATCATTTAGATATCAAAATACTACATGTTAAAAAATAATGATAGAAAACAGTGGATACAAAAGCTGCAATATTAAAAAAACCTGTGAATGAAAATTTTTACTACCCAGTTCTCAAAGGTTTCGCAATAAATCTGTTTCTAATCTTTTGGCAAATATGCGTACAACAAAAAAGATTTTGCTGTTTATAACCATCTATCCTGTGGAAGACAAGAAGATATAGAACAGAAGCTTTGATATAGGTGCTACTTAGAATAAGTCATTTGTCCCCTTTTCTTGCCAGTAGATCTAAAATGTTTGTGGTAATTAATATAGGTACAGGAGTTTGTGAAAAACTGTGGCCATAAGCTTGGAAAAAAGGAAAAGAATACATTCTCACCTCTGGAAAACCCAGATGGTCTCATGGTTATTTTTGAGTTTTCTAACAAATAAAAAGCTTATTCATTAATGTTTTTGCATTATCTTGCTGAAATAGTCCTGGCATGAAAATTCGAAAAACTGTACTTAAATATTCTATAAGAGATTTGATACAGGAGAAATGGTGAACAAATCAGCCAGTTGTCTTTCATGAATGAAAACTTTGTCAATGGCAGACATCCGTTTTTTTGGCTTCATAACACAAAATTCAGTTTGTTAATAAACTCTAAAACAGCAGCAGATATTCCTAGGGGAGAAAATAAACAAAGGGAAACCTCTCAAAGTAAATTGGGTAATGTGGAAAAAATACTTTTGCCAGAAAAATCAGTATTTTGCAAAAACCAGATGGAAAAGACATGGTTTCTACATCACAAAAATTAACAGAGAAAGAAACCACAAACCTTAAATTGTAAAATAATAATAGTGTTTCCTTTTTTAAAAAAAATCCAATATATAATTATTAAAACTATTACTCCTAGAACAAAAATCATATCTAATCCACTGTTATTAAAGGAAAACATTGTTCTAGAACTGAACAATTTTAATAACACTTTCCCCACATATTCTGGATTATAATCACCTCATTAACTATGAGATATTTAGTAACAATAATATCTTTACTCTCATGTTGCTGACACCTGTATGGTTTGAATTATTTCTACTATATTCTTAATTAAATTTGAATACACTTTTCTTACAAATTGTTTGCTCTTAGAAAGATGGTAACGCTTATGGCACTCATTTGCTTCCAAGGATTTTATTTGGATCAAAAGGAAGAAATACTTCCAACAAATTCTTTCAAGCAAATTTGTGCAATTTATTTAGTAGATGAATGAGGAAATCTCTTACTTGGAATCCTATACAGTATATGCAGTATGAACATTGAAAATCATTATGAAAAGCAAACTCTAAGATGCAATAAATGATTATGAGGTTTTACATTCTGATCTAATGTGGAAATTACACTGACTTAGAGGAAATGTGAACTCTGTCATGTTTCATAAACCATGATTTATGATTGCAGCTTGTATGGCCCAAGCTATTTTAGCTTAGTCAAACCAAGGTTAAATGCATCATAGCTCAGCACAGAATGTGATTGCTGTACCCAAATAAAATTGGGTTTGAATAGTCATCCATGAAGTTCAGCAGGGAAGTAACTGCAAATTATTTTGTGTTCGTATGTACTGTATATGTGCATGTACTATGTACCCAGGAAGCAAACAAACATAGTCCATTATTGTGTGTATGTATTACCCAAGACCTAGTGAAACATTAATTAGCATATATATCTCTTATCATGTTTCATCTACAGGAAATCAGCCAATTATTTTCCAGTGTTGCATATATAAAACATTGCTATGTCAGGATGGTACAATGATATGGGCAATGCTCATGGAGCTCTTGCTGATATAAACCACATCCAGTCACGGAAGATGTCTGTCTTGCGAATGGTTTTTCATATTACCAGAAGCCTCACTGCTATGCTACGATTAGAGTAGTAACGTGTCATCAAGTTGTTGCTACTCTTAGCAACCACACAGTCTTTCTCAATGATCATCTGTCATTAACTTGTTCTTCAAATTTTCCCCACTGTGCACTCATTGTCACGTAACTCAGCCTATCTACCTTGCTACTGATCATCCTGGTCTCTTCTACTTGTCCCACCAATAGAGGCGTTTCCTGAAAGAGAGATCTTCACCTAATGAGTCTGAAGTAGGATAATTTCAGCCTGGTCATTTGCACCTTGAATGAAAACTATAGGTTAATTTATTCAATGATCCATTTGTTTCCTTTCTTGACTGTCCAGGATTTCTCAGGAAGTCTTCTCCAACACCAAAGTTCAGAAGAGTCAATACAAGTAGACCTCACTTAATAACTGTTCTTTTTAGCGACCATTCAAAGTTAAGATGGCACTAAAGCACTAACTGTACAATTAGTCCTCACACCCAGAGGTGGGTTTCAGCAGGTTCTGACCAGTTCTGGAGAACTGGTAGTGGAAATTTTGAGTAGTTTGGAGAACCGGTAGTAAAAATTCTGAGTGGCCCCGCCCACATCTATTCTCTACCTCCCAAGTCCCAGCTGATCGGGAGGAAGTGGGGATTTTGCAGTAACCTTCCCCTGGATTGGGGACGGAATGGAGATTTTACAGTATCCTTCCCCTGCCACGCCCACCAAGCCACACCCACAGAACCGGTAGTAAAAAAATTTGAAACCCACCACTGCTCACACCTATAACTATCACAGTGTCCCCATAGTCAAATGAACAAGGCTTAGGTACTTTGCAACTTGAGAATTGTTGCAGCATCGCATAGCAACATGATCACCATTAGCATGTTTCACAGCCAGCTTCCAACAAGCAGTGGAGAAGTGGGCAGTAAAATCTAAAGTTGCGGTCAAATAATACTTTGCTTATTGACTGCGAGTGATTCACTTAAAGACTGCAGCGGAAGTGAGATCATGAGCCCATCACACTCCTCTGTTGTCTCACTTAACTTACTAGATCATTTAGTGATAGAGTTGCTGTTCCCAATTGTTCTCGTTTGGCAAGGACTAAATTGTATTCTTCCTATCTTGCATCTTCAAAATCAGTTGCTAAACTAGAGTAGAAAATTCCAAAGTTTTATAGCTGCATTTTTCTGAGAGAGTATGATCTATGATATAATACATATTACATGATACATAACACATCATCAACTTTCATCAAAACTACTAAAAAACAAATGCATTGTTGACAATATTTATTCAATTTATGTGCCTCTCTTCTTGTCCAGGGATGACTGGGTGGCTTAATAGGAATCAGTATAGTATCTAAAGAGGGGTAAGTTTCATCCATGGGTGAAACTAATATAGGTTAGGACTCAATCCTCTCTCCTCTCCTATTTAACATCAATATGAAGCCACTGGGTGAGGTATCATCAAGATGCTGGTGATACCCAGCTTTATATAGCAGCCTCCAGCTGCCTGAGCGATGCTGTGGATATCATGTCTCAGTGACTGAAGCTTGTAAAGGTCTAGTTCGGATGCAATGAGTTCAAGCCTTGGTAGTACAGTAAGAGCCTTGGTAGTACAGTGGTTTAATGCACCCTGTAATTAACACAGCTGCCTGCAATTTCTGCAGGTTCGAATCTTACCAGGCTCAAGGTTGACTCAGCCTTCCATCCTTTCTAAGGTAGGTTAAATGAGGACCCAGTTTGTGGGGGCAATAAGCTGACTTTGTATAAATATACAAAAGTATGAAGGCTATTGCTTAACGCATTGTAAGCCGCCCTGAGTCTCCGGAGAAGGGCGGCATATAAATCAAATTAAAAAAAAAAAACTTAATCCAAGAAAGACAGAATGGTTTACTTGGGTATTTGGGCTGTCTGATGATAAGGGTTTTCCACCACTAGTCCTGAATGGGATGGCATTGTCCCAGATGGACACAATCTGGAAGCCTCTGTATGAACTGGTCCTACTAGAAGGCCAGGTGGCAGGCATGGCCTGGAGAATCCTTGCACACCTGAGAGTGGTGTGCCTGTTCCTTGATTGAGGGACTGGGTTCACAGTCACTTGCCCTCGTGACTTCTCATCTGAACTATTGAAATATGCTCTACATGCATCTGCCCTGGAAGAGTTTTTGGAAGCTTCAACTGGTGCAGAATGTGGCTGCATGAGTTGTAAAGGATGTTGGGTATTTGATACATGTAACACCACTGCTTCATGAGCTGCATTGGTTGCCAGTACTGTTGCCAGTACAACAGTACAACATAAATATATATGGCATCAAGTAAACCTGATAATATGTATTACTATAGCCCACAGAGGGCTCTTTGGTGGGCTTTAATAATATATATTATCAGATTTACTTGGTGCCATATATATTTATGTTGTACTGTTTTAATAGTCCTGTTTAATTGTCCTTATTTCTTAAGAGGTTCACTGACCAGAATCACTTGTTGAGATGTTTGGCCATAGAAATAAAAACAAACAAACAAACAAAACGGCACCCAGCTCTATGATCACTGATTGCTCTGCTATTGTTTCAAAATGATACATGGTAGCAGAACAGCTTTTTAACAAATTAAATTCCCTAAAGAAGGGTGTATGATCTGATTTGATTTTAATAAGCACATTTCTTCAAATACATGTATTCTCTGTAGTAGAATGTTAATGATAGGTGAGACCAAACATTATATGCAACTGAAGTAGTGGTGAAATGTAAAATTTGTTACTACCAGTTCTGTGGGCGTGGCTTGGGGGGTTAATGTGACTGGGTGGGCGTGGCCAACTTTTTTTTTTTAACTTTTAAAACCATTTTTTCTACAGCCTCTGAAGAGGTTGTAGAAAAAATGCTTTTAAAAGCCTCTGACGATCCCAGCTGAGCCGTGCGATCATCAGAGGCTTTTTTTTTTACTTTTAAAAGCATTTTTTCGGCCAAAGAGGTTGTAGAAAAAATGCTTTTAAAAATAAAAAAAAAAGCCTCTGATGATTGCACGGTTCAGCTGGGCATGGAGGGAGCAGGGATTTTTGCTACCAGTTCTCCGAACCACCTGCCGCCATTGCTACCAGATCGGGCAATCAGGTCCAAACCAGGAGCATTTCACCCCTGATCTGAAGGAACTGGCTTCTTCTATGTGAAGCAGCAAAGATCTCTAAGCTAGACGAATATAATACAATTTAGATTCCAAGGATGGAAGGAAAGAGGCCAGTTGGATGCAGAGTAGTTTATTTTTGCCCTGAGGGCTCATCACTGGAAGGAGACACCAAATGTGTTCTGCTAGAAGAGACACCTTCAATGATATAGTGCTAACAGTAGGAATCAAGCCTTTCTACATCATTGGATGGTCTGGAGCAAAGTCACAGTCTCTATGACTATGTGATTGCAAATCGGGCATGTTGATTGGTTCACAGTTATGAGATTGCAACATTCTGCGGTCGCATGATTGCCATTTGTGACCTTCATTGCCAGCTTTTGACAAGGCAAAAGTAAATGAGGAAGCCAGCAGGAAGTCACAAATGGCAACTATGTGAGATCTTTGCTTAACAATCTAGTGATTCACTTAATGACAGCAACTGGAAGTGCCATATTTTCACAAGCAGCAGCATGACATTACCCCTTACAACTGTGTTGCTTAGTGACAGAGGTCCTAGTCCCAATTACTGTTGGTAAGTGAAGAGTACTTATATGTATAAAGTTATAATTCTAAATCCCAGGAAGCTACAGATGCCAAACATAAAATCGGGGGTAGCAAGTATTCCAGAGCTGGAGGAGTGACATGCTTAGCTGAGCTTCTAAGGATAAGCTGGAAATACAGTTTATTGTCTAGACTCTAGAATCTTTCTAAGAAGAGCCCAGAAAGCAGAGTCCTCCAAATCTGGGGGGGGGGATTCATATATACATCTTATATAGTGATTAAAACATGAAATGGTTATTTTTTCCCTTTAATAAGTAGTACGGCCATCTCAAGATTACATCTTGCTTCTCTTTAGCCAATGTTCTTCTCATGGTGGTCAGCAGCCTCTTCTGTAAACTTCTTCCACCGACCAGATTTGCATCCTTCACCGGGAAAGCAATGTGAGAATTTTTCTCCTGTAATTATCTCATGCCCAAGTGCTATTCAGATGAGATGCACTCATTGACAGAAAAGTAAGCCCACCCTGGCTTCGACTGGCATCTCTGAGTACTTCCTGGGTTTCAGTTTCAATGTTTGAATGGAAGGGCTGACATGATTGGTGTTCAACACAAGGACAAAAGCAAAACCGATGACGATTGGTTGAAAGGGAGAAGAAAGTTAAGACAGGGAACTGTCTCCCTTGAGGAAAGAAAAACTGGTTGCTTGGTTACCTTCTCTGTACACAAAGCCTGGCCTGCTTCATTCTCTGCTTCTGCATGCTTCCTACAAAGGCTATACTTGTAGCAGTTCAGCTATGAAAAGCAAGGAATGAAGATATTTTTTGCCTACTCCTTCAAATATAATCATCTAATAGAAGTATAGAGGATTTTGTTTTGGGTGAGCCTCAGGCCTGTTGGCAAGGTGTTCGCTATTAGGCTCAAAAATCATCTAGGTTTTTTTTTTTCCCCTGCCACTTTCCCCCCCAATTACCTATTCATTCTGCTGGCTCAAATTGAATGCAAAATTGTCTTCTGGATGAAACTACAAGAGAAGAATAGAGGCTCCTGAGAATAATGTTGCATTCAAGAGCTTTCTTACTATTGGAAAGAGAGTTTGTGGAGTTCAAGCAAGCAAATATATTTGTGAGTATAATTTATTCCTTATTATCTAGCACAGGCATCGGTCTGCTGCCTGTTCCTTGCATCTGAGGTGGCTTACAATCTTACAAACAGAAAACAGGCAATTAAAACAACTCTTATCCATAACAAATCCTCATAGAAATAGGGTTGTCCTCCCCCAAAGGCCCTATAGAAAGCATCATTTTAACGCCTCCCATTTTGCTTATAAGAATCAAGACCATCAACAATGTATTAGAATCATAATCAAATATATTACAGAGCTTCAGGATCTGCTCTCTACTGTTCTATCAGTCTTCAAAGCTGGTGAGCATTTTTTAGTTTTCCTTTATAAAGGCCTCTTTCCCCCAGGAGTAGTTAGTTGGCAGTTACTCAGTGGTTACAAGCTAGCAGTTGGTGAGAGCAGAGCCAGACATGACTAATATGCCATTCTCTGATACAATCTTCCTTCTTTTCGTCCTTCCTTCTTTCCTTCCTTCCTTCTTTCCTCCCTCCCTCCTCTGACAGCCTCTTCACTTGTTCTCCTAAACAAAAGTTTTAAAAAATCAGTGTTCTTGTAGTTTGGTTGTAAGGAGGAACTGTTGTTCATTTGAAATTAATTTTTAATGGAATAGCCAATATGAAATGCAGTGGCCTGCATATTAACATGTTCCAGACTTCCTAAGCATACCTCCTCTGTATTGGAGGCAAATAGTGATCAGCAGTAGGTTTTCAGATGCAATTTAAAGTTTGGCTCTTGACCTAAAAAGCCCTATATGTCTTGAAGATACTTTCAGGACTATCTTTTTCAGCTAGAATCAATTCATCCTGTATTAACATTCTGCGGAAAATTCTTTTCGACCCCCGCTACCATTGACCTTAAGAGAGCTTAGACCACAAGGAGATATTTCTGCATGAGTCCAGTATTCTGATCAACCCTTCCAAAACAGATTGTTTTTGGCATGCTGCCCAGCTTTATTAGCTTTCCAAAAGTAGGTTAAATTAGTGCTGTCCCAGCGGGGTTTTGTAGCTAGTTAAGATAACACCTTTGGAATTTTTATATGTTGTTCTATTTCAGTTTAATTCTGTTTGAAAGTAATTTCTTTGTTTATTTTGTACTACATATCATTAGCATTAGCATCAATCTATATAAATCAATACACAATCATTTATCTGGGACCAGAAGGGAGAGGCAGAGAAGAGATATCCATTAAGCATGAATTAGTCAATCAACAAAAAGTGCAACCTTCTGACAAAATTGTTCTGGGCTTGAAAACTGGGTAGGGATAGATCTGATTAGGAAATGGACGACGGGCGATCTTGTGAAACAAAAGGCTACTTAGAAAAATTGCAAGCAGATCCCATGGCAAACCTTAAGGAAATCTCAAGGCTGGAGGGTAGGCAGGAAAGTTAGAAAGTTATATGAGACAAAGGCATTTGCAAACTACAATTGTATTATTGTTAGTGTCTACAGAGTTGTTATGAGTGGTTTTACTTTATATCACTGAAGCCAAAACCATTTGTTATCTCTTCTTTTTTTAGGGCATTTCTGTTATGTCTGTGGAAGACAATTGGAGGGAATGGATAGCTGAAATTGAAGGGCTGAAGGATACCTTATGGGAAGGTGCTACTCTTTCCTAGAAATGTTATAATGTACAGTGGTATTGCACTCCCTAAACAACATGGATGATTTATTATTATTTATCATTTGTAGAGCTTTTTGGTAAATGCTCTATAAAATATATTGATTGAAAAAATCAAGGTCAGGCACTTAGGAACTGCGAAACATTCTGAAAAAGCTTTTGAGAACTCCAAATTGTTCAGGAAATAAATTGCGGCCAAAATCAAAAATGCAAATCCTGTGCAAAAAGCACTAATTGAAATTAGAATAGAGTACTTAAATAATAAGAAAACCATTCGTTGGATTCAAGTAATTTAACAACTGGTTCTCTGCCCTAATGATTTCTTCCAACAACCAGTTTGCCAAACTGCTCAGAAAGTTAACAACTGGTTCTCCCAAAGTGGTGTGAACTGGCTGAATCCCACCACTGAAGAAAGCTGAACTATCAAATATTGAAGGTGGAAGTAGCATAGCTAAAAATAAAAACATAAGAAGACAGCTTTGTTGTTTTAATGCATTGTGGGTGCTGAAATGTATGCATCCTCTGTTTGCATCACAAGAGATATAAATAGGATGAAATTTATGTAAGACTTCAATCTATGCTCTTTATTGTTAAAAAAAAGTCTATTCACTTCCAACAAATCCACATTATTTTAGGTTGACAAACCCTGTTGTAATGAGTGCATGTCATTTAGTAGACAGGTGAAGCAAGTGGTGAAATCAGAGCCAAATGTAGGTGCCCAACTCTTACCTTTCACTTACACATCGTATTTTTTGATGTTCTTTCCCCCTTACAAGATATGCTAAAGATCACTTTTTCTAGAAGTCCAAATGGTTTGTTTCCAGAGGCTTTTGAGATTCACCTGACAGTCATGTAAAATTAAATCAAAGACCACTTGCAGGTTCATATTTACAGACTCCCTCCACCTGGCATATAATATAATACATATATATTTATATATATTAAACTAGGTGCTGAACTTCAGCTGTCACTGAAATATTCTGAAGACTACAATGCCATGCCTCCAACCATCACATTCACCACTATTCCTTTCCATCCCAATGGTAAGGGTGTTATTAAGGACAGTGTCCTTCATATGGTAACAGATCAAAAGCAACTTGCTGCTTCACGTAAGGGTTGTTTTCCAGAGTAATATAACAGCTACCGTGTTTCCCTCAAAATAAGACCCTGTCTTATATTTTTTTGAATCTGAAATAAGCACCTGGCCTTATTGCCATGTGCTCAAAAACCTGATTGGGCTTATTATCAGGGGATGTCTTATTTTGGGAGAAACAGGGTACATATAATCGTGCTTAGCAGTGGTGGGTTCCTCCCGGTTCTGCCCGGTTCCACCGAGCCGGTAGCAGTGACAATATGATGTCACCAAACCAGTTCTGGTGCTTAGTAGTTTATATAGTGTTTTTGTAATTTTGATTTTATCTGCTTTGGTGTAAATGCACTATATCAAATTAATAATGAATCAATATTTTTGTAATATAAAATACTGAGAATAAATATTAAGCTAACGTAAGCTAAATGCTAAGATTTTGTAAAATCTTTTTTTACAGAACAGGGATGTCAAACTGGTGGCCTGTGGGCTGGATGCGTCCCACACAGGCCATGCCCACCCTGGCTCCGCAAAGACAAAAAATGACACGATATGTCACAATACGTTACGTGACACAATTGAGTTTGACACCCGTGTTATAGAGACTAAAACTTACATAACTCTTTACAGTATATGTACTGTAATCTGCAGAGTTTAGCATATTGGTAGGAAAGGCTCCAATTTAAACATTAATGTTTTTGTCTTTTATCCAAGTGGATCCAGAATCTGGGAGACCTTGTGTGGATTTTCTAGATGACCTTAGCAAATGGAACCCTCACTTCACAATGACTAGTATTCTACTTACTATCCAGGTAAGAAAGATTGATACAATCATTTTTTTCTTAATTTTCTTTTGTTTATGGGAGAAGTATTTTTTTTAAATCAAGTTTTATTGGGGGTTTTTTTCCCCCACATTCCCCCACATCTTTTTTGAACAGAGTATTGGCCATATCTTACCTTATACAATTTATCAAATTCAAATACATTTTTGCCACAATTTTCTTTTTCCCCTTTTTTAAATCATATCTCAATATTTCTATGCTTACTTATATAAACAACATCTTCATTCACCCTCAAATTCTAATTTTCCTGCTTATTCATATTTATTCTTTTATTTTTTAACCATTCATTCTTTATCTTAGTATATTTATATATGTTCGGGGTTGCCTTTCTTCCATTTTATCTTTTTTGTTGTACAGCAATCTTTCTTCTCAATCCTGCCATTTCCTTCTCTTCTTTCCTTCTTACTTTCTTTTTCCCTCCTCTCCTGCTCCTCTCCACTTCCTCTTCCTTTCTCCTTCTCCTCCTTTCTTCCTCCCTGTCTAGCCCTCTCTCCAACTCTGATTTCCCCTTTCTTCCTTCCTCCCCTCTCTTCCATCCCTCTCTCTGGGAGAAGTAATCTTAGTTTATTTTTGTAACACTAGGAACCTCATGACAGCATAAGCTCACACAAGGCATTTGCACTAAACCAGTAAAATTGTTAATTTTTTTCTGTAAATAGTTTTCAGTAATCCTTTTCATAAGCTGTTTTTGAGGTTCCCCTCTCAGTTCTAGTTAAAGTTTGTGAGATTGGTAGGACTGAGGACGAAAAAAACCCGGGGTAAAATCCAGCAGGTTCTGACAGGTTCTAGAGAACCGGTAGCAGAAATTTTGAGCAGTTCGGAGAACCGGCAAATACCACCTCTGGCTAGCCCCAGAGTGGGGTGGGAATGGAGATTTTGCTATATCTTTCCCTCAGGAATGGGGAGGGAATGGGGATTTTGCAGTATCCTTCCCCTGTCACATCCACCAAGTCAGGCCCACCAAGCCATGCCCACCAAACCACACCACGCCCACCACGCCACACCCACAGAACCAGTAGTAAACAAATTTGGATTTCACCACTGAAAAAAACCATTCTTCTTTCATGGGCCCACAAAATGTTTTTCAATTCTTTCAATTCTAATTAAAGAACTTAAAGGAAAAAAAGAGTCATGATGTAACTTTAGAGAGAGGTTTAGAGATATCTCTAATGCCATGTTTTTCTATCTTGAAGATTATATTTGTTGTTGCTATGAAGGAGGTCCATCCAACAAGGGGAACAGCTGTTTCAGCTTTTTTTTTCTTTTCTTGAATAATAAATATAAAGCACTACGGGGATTGTCTTTTATTGTTAAAATCCTTCTTTAAATTAATTCTTTAAATTAATTATGTTGCATAATTTTAACTCCTACCCTTCTAGGATCTGCTTTGGTATATGTTAGGAAAATGGGAGTTTCCAACTTCCCATGGTGAAATAATGAAGGACTACCATTGCATTAAAAAAAAACCTTAATTTTCTTTGAGCTGCTATCACTGTTTGAATCATACAGTAACTAGAAGAAAGGGATGGTTTCCTCCCCTCCTGGTACTCAAGAAATTATTACAAATATTCCCATCTTTCCTTCAGAAATGAATGTGTGGAGCTTTTAAATATTTTTTTACATTAACCGCCTTCCAAAATAGTAAAGGAAATTTTGCGGCAAGTCCAGTATTCCATTCTGAACTGGATGCATCCAAAGGAGAAGAAATGTTGGTTTCTCCATGATCCCCATATGTTCATAATTTGTGTCTGCCACACAGCCAAGGTTAGAGTGGAAAGAAAAGTATCAATCTTCTATAAGTTTTCTATTCTATGAAAACACAGAGCAGGATTCATGTCTTCTAACTGCCATGGCTAATCCAAAAAAGCCATTTATTGCAAATAGTGTTTCATTTCAGGTACTCTTTGACTTAAAAAAAATGCATTTAGTGACCATTCAAAGTTACAACAACACTGAAAAAAGTGCATGATGAACAGTTTTCACACACCTGACAACTGTTGTAGCATTCCATGGTCACGTGATCAAAATTGGGATGCTTGGCAACAGGCATGTATTTGTGACAGTTGCACTATTCCTGGGTCATACGATCACCCTCTGTAATCTCCCTTTTGGCTTCCGACAAAGAAAGTCAATGGGGGAAGCAAGATTTACTTAACACCTGTGGCAAAAAAGGCCATTAAGTGGGGCAAAACTCACTAAAGAACTGCCTTGCTTAGCAATGGAAATTTTTACCCCTATTGTGGTTGCAAGTCGAGGACTACCTGTAGCTGGTTGAGTTTGTAATCAATAAAGCTTTGTAGATTGATGCGTGCATGTATTTTCATGCAGGTTTTGTTGTCTAATCCTGTTCTGAAAAATGCCGTGAACCTGGAGGCAGCTCAAATGCTGAAAAATAATTATCCCCAATACAGAGAAAAAGTTGTACAGTGTGTCACAAATAGCAAACAACTCGAAGGTAATAAATACTTGTGCTTTCTGTTGTTAATCATAGATAAATTCTTTCTGCACTATGGGGAGTTTTAGAAGAAACTATTTGAATAGTATTCTTGAAAAAACACAATTTTATATACTGTCATAAATTTTAATTAGTATCATTGGCAATGTAACCTGAGCATGGGTTTTCTAAGCAAATCTTTCATCTCACAAAACATATTTGCCAGGGTACAGAGGTTATGCGGAGGTCGCAAGCTGGAAATAAAACAAAAGCATTCATATTGGGGAGAGGAATTTAAATTTTTATATATATCAGTGATTCTCTCAGGTATTTAACTCCTGGCATCATCATAATGAGAAGGTCAAATATAGCACAATGGAATGTTGTACTACAACAAAGATAGCATCATATTTTTATTTGTGTTTCAATAAACGTTGGAAGTATTTGCCATTTCCATGTATTCTGTCCTAATTAGAAGGTCAAAGATGGAACTGTCCTTCAAGTTAAATTATTATGGATAAGTATACAGTCTTATATACAGTCTTCCATCTATACAAACCCTTCAGACTAATATGACTCAGGGCATTTCCACCCATCACAGTTCTCTTCCTCAATGTGTCCAAAGCAGTTTGAAGCAACCTGACAATCATCTTTGCATCTGCTGATGTCATTAACTGGGACACAAAACACAGTAGTTCAATCAGTGGTGTCCTTCCAGTAGATCAGAAGGAATCTGCAAAAAAAAAAAAAAAACCAACTCTCACATTCAGTCAGTGCCCTATCCAGACTGCTGTCTGTCTCGGAACAATAAAATGTCTTGTCACCTATATACAACACAGCGCATGAAATAAATTGCCAGTCCCTATTTCCCTCCATATCCCCAGTCTACATTTGCAGCAAATGGTGTATTTGTGTATTTTACATATGTTTTTTAAGTAAAATTTATTATAATCTAAATTCATAATAGGTAAAGGTACTTGGCTATAAAATTCTTTATTCCTAATGTATTAAAACCCCAACTGAGAGCTGTGAATGTACCATATCATCCGATCATGCCATCAGTTTTGCAGCCCTCTTTATCATTGTATGGTGTCCTGATGCTGAACTCAAAAGGGAGAAGATGCATATTGCAGACAGGTCTAGGACAACTCAACACAGTCAACTTTCCATGGCCAACTTGCCACAATCAATTCCTCATGGCCAACTCTCCGTGGGACAATTTGCCATTGAACAAAAGTTACACTAATATTGAAGAAATTGTGGAATAGAATCATTAAAGAAAGGATACCAAAGGAGGGACAAAATGAAATGTGAGTGACAAAAAGTAAAATATTGTTAAAAATGATTTTAGATAATTAAATTGAATTGTTGAATTGTCCCACGGCGAGTTGGCCATAGCGAATTGGCTGTGGTGGGTTGGCCCATTACATTGCAGGCTGCAGAAACTGGCATTCCGTCAGCTATGCTAAATCAAGTCATTATAGTGGCTGAAACTCAGGAGTAGAGCAAAGGAGTGAAATAAAAGTTCCTTCCAAAGGGGTATTGGAGCTCACACCAGAGCTTCACCATTGACAAAAGGCACATATGCACACACATCTGTTATTGTTGCCATTATTATTATGATCACTCTGAGTCAATCCACTGCAAGATGAAATACTTTTAATTGACTTTTACCACTCTGGTCCAATAAAGGCAGACAGCCAGAAGAGAGAGAGAGAAATGTGTACATATGTACACATGCATGTAGGTAGTCCAAGACTTACACTTAGCAATGGTTCAAAGTTATGGCTACATATGAGCCAATTCCAAAGTTCCAATCGCTTCCCCTCCCCCACTTCTGTGACTGCATGTTGAGCACTCAGCAACTAGCCTGCATTTATGGATGTTTGCAGCATTCTGCAGTCATGTGACTGTCGTTTATGATATCTTTGACAAAGAGTGGCATTTACTTCCATTTTTTTGGCAAAAACAGCCCAGAGTGAACAATGGTTTCATTTTACGATAGTGGCATTTGCTTTGCAACTGCCATGTTCACTTTACAACCATCATGTTCATTTAATGATTGCCACCAAAAAGGACAGAATCGGGTCGGTTATGTGGGTGACCCACTTTAAAACTCTCATGAATTACAACAATAATGGGGAAGCCCCATTATGATCATAAGTCAAGAACTACCTGTCCTAGGTATGCTATATATGCTTTTGGGTAAACCCACAGCTGAGCCAGAAATAAAAGGTCTTGGCTGCCAAAACTGTGAAATTAAATCCAGAGTTTCACGAGAATTGGAACTGCTAATAATCCTGCCAGTAAAATCAAAGAAAGTATTATTTCCACATAATGAGTCTGTGTAATTTAGATTATTGTAACTGTACCTCCTTATAGTTATTAGTCCCATCACTGTTGTGACAACTGTAGCAATTCAGTGTTCATCTCATATTTGAAGGTATTCTTTTCATTACTGGTAATAATGCCACTGGAATCTTCTGGTTGCAATTATAATGTGGCTCAATTAAATCTTTGTTATTTTAATGGCATAAAAGTATTGGATTGTAAAATATTCACAACAAACATTTTAAAAACTTTTTCTTTTGTCCAGCCATTGCCAAACATTGGGATACGTCAGTCAAGTTTTACCCACAATCAGAAGAACCAACCCCGCAAAAGTAATGACATACAGTTAAACTCATAAATGTTGTAATGCTATAAATTTTTATTTGAATTATTGAATAATTTATATTTGCTTTGAAAAGCAGTGTTTCATCTGGGATAAAAATTTCTAGCAATGTTAGTACAAAGTCACAAATATCAACAGAACAACTTAAAAAAATATGCTCAATAAAAGATCTTCTATTGCTTCAGAAAGATATCAGAGGCAATTCTGCTTGGAGAAACACTGTGTGGCATCACCAAAAAATTTGTCTCTCCTTCGTCTTGCCTGTTTAGCATCATATGGAAAATAGACATGAAGCATTACATTTTATGAGGCCTACAAAGTCTGGGCATGAACTAGAAGAACATTTTGGACTTCAAACTGTTTAGGCATGGAAATGGGCCCGCATCCAGTTTTAGAATTGGCAAGATGTGATTTATATTACTGATCCCAAACAGTAACTTAGCAGTTGGCCTTCCTGATATTCAAAGAAGTCTTCAAAAATATATATTTAACTTGAATAAGTCACATATTTACATACACATAAATACATCTAACTATGGTGAACCATTTCCCTTCTTTAAAGTTTTTATTTTATTTTAAAAGAAAGTCAAACACTAAAAGGTAGGTTACAAGTTTAATCTTAAGAAGAACTTTAACGTTTTAAATATACATGTTCAATATTATTATCTACAGTTTCATTTGAAAAAGTAATAGGTAGTTATAATAGGAAACATGTTTTTAATATAGGTAAGAAACTGTGATCATATTCAGTTAACTTTCCCCAATATTATATGCTTCTTCAAAGCTATATGTTATGTTAGTTTTTGAAATAGAACAGTTAAATATCAGTGATCCAATGAAGTATGTATTCTAATTTTCCAGAGTTATGTAATAACAAACCTGGCATCTAACAACAGGAATGGTATTATTTCTATATAGCATTGATGTATAGTGTATGCCATAGGAAATGTTGGCAATAATTATCAATATATTATCAAGTATATCAGCAGGATTTTGATAAAATATTGTTACATACATGTCCCAAAACTCTTCAAAACTGGCTAATTAGGCATTCCTGACATTGTATTAAAAACCAATAGCTTATAAACTCCAACACAATATGAAAATGTTATAATTGAGGTGGTTCTGTTTTCACAAAATATAGAACCACCTATTAATTTGTCTTCACAGTCAATTCCTGCTGACTTGCTAAACCATTCTCCTGCTTATAAACAATCTGTAACTGATAACATATTCATCCATTTAGACTTCTGTCACCAAAGTGTTGCTCTCCAGATATATTGAAATTTGATTCTCATAAACTCATAACCTGTACATTAACCATTTGCTAAGTACCTCTAGCCTTAACAAATGGGGATTAAGGAAGTTGTAATCTAGTATATATGGAGACACAGTCATTGAGGACATTTCTGTAGATTTTTTTCTTACAGAAAAATTACTAATAAAAATAAAATGCAGATGCCAGTCTTGAAGAACTAGACACATTTTGTCTTTGTTGTAGAATCTGCCCTATACTGATCATGTAATTTGTTTATTAAATTTATATGTTGCCCATCTCACCAGCAGGGTTAGGTATAAGTAATCCTCGTTTAACAATGGTAATTGGGACCATCAACACCATTGCTAAGTGACCCAGTCATAAAGTGCATTGCCCTGTGACTGCTGATTTACAACAGCAGTTGTGGCAATTCCAATTGTCATCAGTAGATGAATCCCATTCAATTGCAGTGGCCTGTAGTTATGTTTGCAGTCATGTTTACAACTTCCTGCTGGCTTCCCCAATGACTTCGCTTGTGATGTTGCCATTGTGACACTGCAATGGCAACATCTATGACAACCTGGTGTGAGTCCTTCATTCAGCGCCATCGTAACTTTAAATGATCAGCAAATGACTGATTGATCAAGAGGTCTACCTGTATATAGTATATTAGAGTGGTATAGGCTTACTTAGGAAAGTAAAAATGTGTCAATCAGTGTTGTTGTCAGTGGCCAAAGAAGGGTTCATAGCAGAGAACAATTTCTCACAGTTTTGAAGAAAGGCGAAGTTACAAAGTCCTTGATGAGCTGCTGCTGACATTGAACAGGACAGCAACAGCAAAAGATAGAGAAATTAATACAAGGACTTCAAACAAAGCAAGAATAATGTGATGATTGTGCTCCTGAATCTTGTCGTTTCATACAATGGCATGCTTGACATTTTCTTCTTCAGAGTCTCATTGATGTGTGTTGAAATCAGTAATACACACAGAAGGGCGGGGGGGGGGAAACAATTACGAGCAAAAACCCAGTTCTCTTTGATTTCTTTATCAAATAGTTGGCTCATTTAATTTGACATACCTAGTCCTGCAACTCCGTAGCAGATCTCTTTTACAAAATACATCCAGCAGGAACTAAATAATACCTGTAGATCTGAGCACCCCAAGGACCAGTAGAACACCTCTTTAATCTTAAGAGGGCAAAGATTCCCAAACCACGCTGATAGGGCTCCTACCCCAAAAGATTGAATTGTATCATAAAATCAAAAGGTGCTTCAACAAAGTTTTACGAGTTTTTTTTACATCTCAAAAACCTGGCATTTTAACAGGAGAGTATAAACTTTTTACATTCATTGTACTCTGTTGGATTTTCTTCCATTTATACTGAAATTGGAAGCAGTTTCACCCTTTAAACCTTTGTTCTTTCTTCTTGGTGAAATGTTCTGCAGAAAAAAATCTCCGCCCCATAACTATTTCCATACGCTAGTTACAGATCATCCTTTCTTCCAAATGTATATTTTCAGAAAGACAACAGGAGTATCATATGAAGAATATTTTATAACATGGTTTAAAATTGCCACATCAAGACCTGCTGAAGATTTTAAACACCCAGGTAAGCTAATGTTTTGGTTTCTTTAAATTAAAAAGACCAAGTCTGATTTTGCACAAAATATAAATAAATGAAATGGATATTTCATATGGTGATACCCTGCCCCCCCCGCAAGTATGGAAGCCGCAACCCATAGGGACTTTCAGAAAGAAATCTTTTTTGTCAGGGAAACCTTTAAAATTGTGACCCTATGGTTGCTACTAATAGAAGTATTGCTATATATATTGGGACTTTATGGACAAATGCAGACTTGTGTTGTTTTAAAAAGAAGGCAGCATATTCCAGAGGTCTCAAATTCAAATCATCATGAATGTCACAAGGACTAGTTCAATAAACTGAGGATTGCAGCACTGAAGCCTTTTCATATGCCGATATAAAAAGCTTTAGTGAGTCAAAAAGATAAGAAAATGAAAAAGATTCCTGATATGCCATTACACATTTATTACATTAAAAAACACAGCTATTTGCAAAGGAGTGCTGTGAAACAGCATTTCACTTTGGTGGCTTAGTTGGCCATATTTTCATTAAACACAATACCAAATTTGGTTTTTATTACTAAGATGAATAAAAGCCCATTCCATTTAAAGCTGTCTAAACCCTGCTTTTCTCTCTCTCTTTTTTTCCATGCAGAGCATATCGATTTCCCTTCCTTTTGTCATTTTCTAGGTCACTTTCTCTTCACTCTTTCTTGCATAGTTCCATCTTCCTTCCTTTGCTTAGCAGGGAAATCTTCCTTGCTCGTCTGCTTACCGTCCCAATCTGGGGTCCTTGATGCTCTCTGAGTTTGGTGGTTTTCTTACAGACATTTCATTACCCAGCTAAGTAACATCATCAATGCTAGAAGGGAGTGGGAATTTGCTCTCTGTTTATATACAAGTGGCTTGCTCTGTCGGTGTTGGCAGTTCCTTAGGCTGTTGTCCACCAATTCCCACTCCTTGGTTGGCAGAGAGGCTCATGATTGGGCAATCATGTCTGCTTCCTCCAGCCTCCTACTCCTTCCTCAGCTAGGTCTTATCTCCAGGTGAAGAGAACTTGATACAATCAGAAGCAGTCTACTGGACCTTGACAACAGACAGGGGTTTTCAGAGGGCAACACTGCTCAGTGCTACAAAGTCCTACCCCACAAGTCTCACTCTTGTTGAAAGACTCATCAAGTTGGGCTGCTCCTCTCCTTGAAGTTCTTCCCATGTTCTTCACAGGACTCTGTGTCCTAGACCTGCTATGCAACACTAAGTCCCTATAAAATTTACTAGAAGCCATAGAAAGCATGGCAGTAACTGCTATTTTAGAGAAAGTCTGAAAAATTGGGGACAGACAGATCTAAATCACAGTAGCTAAACTCTACTTAAAGCAGGAGTCTCCAACCTTGGCAATTTTAAGACTTGTGGACTTCAACTCCCAGAATTCCTCAGCCAGCTTTGCTTTGCTGGCTGAGGAATTCTGGGATTTGAAGTCCACAAGTCTTAAAGTTGTCAAGGTTGGAGACCCCGACTTAAAGTATCAAGAGAAAGCACCTGCCCATAACCACACTTTCGAGGGGAAGACTTGCTTCTCATAAAAATAACAAAGAAAATCTTCTCACGACTTTAAATTTTGACTTTTCTATATCACATTCTAGAATCAGAAAGGACTATTCCAAGCCTAATTAAAATGGAATGTGCTATTTTCAGAACATTGAATCATTAGATTTGACGCGTCCTAGGTGGTCTCTGCACAAACCTTATAATTACATTGTTTTAGATTAACTATATTTTCAGTAGTGAGTTAAAGACTTTATTATATAATGGGTATAATGGACGACGGATACATGGAGCAACTACGCATTATACTTTGAGAGAGCTGCTGTTCTTAACAGAGTTCAGTGAAATTTGCTTAATATAACTTGCCATAACATGAAGTTGGGCTGCATCTGATTTGTCGTAGTTGAACTCATCATTAAGTCCCCCACCTGGCCCCTGGATATGTACAGTTTGAATGCACAAGTAAAATGCCTTCTTAGTCAGATTCAAGATCTTCCTTATTCCAAGCATGTGTTTTACCATTCAGCTATGGCTTTTTCCCAAAGGCTTATACAAAGGGAATTAAAATGAGCAACACATACATTAAGTTGAATGATGACAGAGTATTCTGATTATGTACATATAGGATTGTGAAACAATTTGGATAGTAGAAGAATAAGGTTTTTAACAATTTAAGTTAATGAAATACTCTTGAATATTGGCCAGGTGACAATTGTGAAGACAATGAATGTCTTCTAATTTATTAGTAAAGTTTGCTGTGCGTTTAATGTCTATGTTTACTACAAAAAAGCACATTGAAATGCCTCTTAAACATGATTAAAAATATTATGTAGTTCCAATATATAAGTAAAGTATCTATACTCATAAAGCTGTTCCGTGAATGTGAGAATGAATGTCCATTGTACCATCAAACTAGGGCAAAAGGGGATATGGAATTAGATACCATTTGTATTATTATGTACATACCAATGTGAAATCACAGCTTCCAGTTCTTTACCTGGCATTGGTATTTGCATCAAATTCTTTCCAAGAACTTAGGGTGTTGTAATGTATTGACTGTTGGGCACAAGCAGTCAGATCTACATGTGAAAAAAAGCTGGCTTTCTTATTGTGGAAATCTTCTCAGACTGCTTGCCTTCCCTTGGGAACAGACAGATAAGGTTCCATGGAACTTAGATGGGGTCAGTTTACCTTGCCACTGCACAAGGATTCGAGGCTAGTTCCTCACTGGATCCCTCCTCACTGCCTGGCTTTCTGCCACCATTCTGTCCACGTTTTTAATACATATTTTGTTTCCTGTGCATTCCAATTTTTAACTTGCAACAGTGCTTGTCCTTTGCTGTCTCTTACATAATGAAGAATTGGTGGATGCTTTATTTGCAGGGAAAGATCATGTTATCAGTGGTCCTTTTCCTAATGGGCCAACTGCCTTATCTTTGCTGGCATAATCAGTCAACAGATTCCTGAATCTCATACTAAACTAACTTCTATGCACGAAGATAGAATAGAATAACAGAGTTGGAAGGGACCTTGGAGGTCTTCTAGTCCAACCTCCTGTCCAGGCAGGAAAACCTACACCACTTCAGACAAATGGTTATCCAACATCTTCTTAAAAACTTCCAGTGTTAGAGCATTCACAACTTTTGGAGGCAAGTTGTTCCACTGCTTAATTGTTCTCACTGTCAGGAAATTTCTCCTTAGTTCTAAGTTGCTTCTCTCCTTGATTAGTTTCCACCCATTGCTTCTTGTCCTGCCCTCGGGTGCTTTGGAGAATAGCTTGACTCCCTCTTCTTTGTAGCAGCCCCTGAGATATTGGAATACTGCTATCATGTCTCCCTAGTCCTTCTTTTCATTAAGTTAGACATACCCAGTTCCTGCAACCATTCTTCATATGTGTTAGCCTCTAGTCCCCTAATCATCTTTATTGCTCTTCTCTGCACTCTTTCTAGAGCCTCAACATCTTTTTTACATTGTGGCAATGAAAATTGGATGCAGTATTCCAAGTATGGCCTTACCAAGGCATTATAAAATGGTATTAACACTTCATGTGGTCTTGATTCTATCACTCTGTTTATGCAGCCTAGAACTGTGTTCGTTTTTTTGGCAGCTGCTGCACACTGCTGGCTCATATTTAAATGTTTGTCCACTAGGACTCCAAGATCCCTCTCACAGTTACTACTATTGAGCAAGGTACCACATATACGGTACCTGTGCATTTTGTTTTTCTTGCCTAAATGTAGAACCTTACTTTTTTCACCATTGAATTTCACTTTGTTAGATAGCACCCAATGTTCAAGTCTGTCAAGATCCTTCTGCTATTTTAAGCCTATCTTCTAGAGTGTTGGCTATTCCTGCCAGCTTGGTGTTAACTGCAAATTTGATGAGTTCCCCATCTATCCCCTCGTCCAAATCATTGATGAAGGTGTTGAAGGGTAGTGGGCCTAAAACAGAGCCTTGGGGTACTCCACTGCATACTTCCTTCCATGTAGATGCAGTTCCATTGAGGACTACATGTTGAGTGCAGTTGGTCAGCCAGTTATGAATCCATCTGGTGGTGATGCTGTCTAACCCACATTTTTCTACTTTATCTAGTAGTAGGTTATAGTCAAATGACAGTATGTCAAATGCCTTACTGAAGTCCAAGTAAATTATATCGACAGCATTCTTCTGGTCCACTAATTTTGTCACTTTGTCAAAGAATGCAATAAGATTAGATCTGTTTTTGACAAACCCATGTTGACTTTTGGTTATTACTTTGTTTGCTTCTAGGTATTTGCTGATTTGTTGCTTGATTATCTTTTCCAGAATCTTCCCTGGTATTGAGGTTAGGCTAATAAGTCTGTAGTTTCCTGGATCTATTTTTTTCCCATTTTTTGAAGATGGGAACTACATCAGCTTTTTTCCAGTCCTCTGGCAGTTCCCCAGTGATCCAGGATCTTTGAAAGATATAGTTCAGTGGTTCTGAGATCTCATCTGCCAGTTCCTTTAGAACCTTGGGGTGTAATCCATCCGGTCTTGGTGATTTGAACTCATCTAAGGGTAGACAGATGCTCACTTACCATTTTCTTCCCTATTTTAACTTGTGTTCCTAATCTGTTTTTTGTGGTGCTGTTTTTGATAGGTTGGACTGTTTTTTCCCTTTGTGTAAAAACAGATGCAAAAAACGAGTTAAGTAGTTCTGCTTTCTCCCTGTTGCTTGTCACCTTCTTGCCACTTTCTCCCAGCAATGGACCAATTGTTTCCTTGACTTTTTTCTTGTTTTTAACATGTTGGAAGAAGCTTTTTTGTTGTTGTTATTTTTTACTTTTGTCACAAGCCTTTGTTTTGTTGTTGATTGTTATGTTATATCTATGGCCTTCCTATAGCTTACTGAAGTGAATTATAAGACTCCTTCAGGTTGGATGTCATATAGGAAGAACTCAGGAATTCATATGCTTGTTGTTTTAGAAAGTTAGTATTTTGTATAGAATGTGACCATTCCAATTTGAAATTTGCTTGGAATTCTCTTTCCAGTGTTTGCAGATCCAGAGTACATAGGAAACCGTTACAACTGGATGGCAGAGAATGTGAACAGAGGCAGCTGGGATGAAAATTTGTAAGTATCTGATGAAAAATCACATGCGTACACTTATGGTAGGAGAGCTGTTTAATGAGTATTTTAACCATTTTAAGTTCTTGATATTTAGTTATAGATTTATTTTCAAAGTGAAAAATCATCAGTAAAAAATCTAAATGTATGCCTTTAAACATTAGCTGCAACATCAAATTTTGCTGATTCTTAAACTACCGCATAACAGTGTTGTTTGTTTGTTTGTTTGTTTGTTTATTATCTATCTATCTATCTATCTATCTCTATCTATCTATCTATCTATCTATCTATCTAGTGGCTGGTTTGATCACTTGTTGTTACCAGGCAGGTAGAGGGTTATTTAATTTTTTTTATATTGGGTTTTTATTGTTTGTATGCTGCCCAGAGTCACTGAGAGTGAGTGGGCAGCCATATAAAAAACCTGAATAAATAAATAACAGTATGCAGATTCAAATTATTATTCTTTCACAGAACCTGCTTTTTTTGTGAAAATTATGACTTTATTGTTACTGTAAACAGAAGCATATACTGGAGTTACATATAGAAACTCCAGAAAATATTATTATTAATAATAATAATTTTATGCAGAACATAAGTTCGTGAAACGTAAAATATTCAGGTGTATTATGAACCTGAATATAAGAGCCAATCCAGGCTCCTAATTAGGATTCAGAAATTGAACCTTGATATTAACATCTTAACATCTTAAGCGATTAGAAATCACTGCAGATCTTTTAAAACAGGCATGTACAATCCCTGCCCCCTACACCTATTAGCAACTTAGGTGAACCTTTTCAAGGGTGAGGGTACATACTCTGTGTTGCAACTTTCTTCCCCTTCATAAAGCTTCTGCTTTACATACACACTTACTCAATGTTCCTACACTGGGGATTTATGTATATTTATGAGGAAAAGGTATCCTCAGTGTCTTCCAGAAAACAAATGTAACGTGGTCCCTGGGATTGGGGAAGATGGAATGAGTCATAGGTCCCATAGTTTGAGAAGGAGACAGTCTAGGAAGCAAGCATCTACAACAGACATCACATTTTCTGTATGCCTGGAATCATAGCATTACTGATCACTGAAGCTGAATAATTTATACTAAGTTATCCCTACAATATAGCCAATTTATTCTAGAGTATACTAAAAAGTTTGCAATCGGTTATTTCATACACATGCGGCTATTTCACCCAAGTTGCCAGAGACTGGCAGACACCTAAGAAAATCTAATTTGGGCTTTCAATCAAATAAAAACAAATGGGTAAAATTGGTTCATTTTTCTCTTGAATAGACTCTCTTATTCGAAAGGGTTAATTTCCCTTGGATACAACTTCCTCGTTTTATTTCTCTCAACAGAAGTTCTTTGTTTCATGTATTTGATAATTGCTTCATTATGTCGTGCCACACAATATATGTGTGCCAAGAAAGCATTTCAAAAATTAGCAGTCTCTTTTCTGAAGTTTTTTCCCCCCATTTTTAATTTAAAAAAAAATTAGCAAAGGACAAGAATAGGCTAGATTTATTTGAGAAAGCTGTCTTTTCTTTGAAATAATGCAACTTTTGGTACTAATTGCATTGAAGCTTGAGAAAAAAATGCCTATGGTTCTTTTGACAGAGTTAAAGGCCCACCTTTGACTGCCATCCTGTGGTTGAAAATAGACTTTTGTAAAATTCCTTCCTTCTTTCTTTCCTCCCTCAAGTAACAAGATTCCCCAATGATTGCTGAGGACATACCTGCAACTAAACAGATTGCAGTTTTATATGCATGGACCCATCACACAGCAAAAGCAAATATTTGGCTAAGTTAAGGCACTGTACACTACACTTCCAAGAACAGTGCTTCTCTGAACTTTTATAATAAAAAAGCTGTAATTAAGCCAAAGCTTGTAAACACACTGGCTTTCTTATGAAATGTACATTCATCATTTCTACTGCAACTATACTGAATGGAAGTTAAGATCCCTAATCCTATAAAATGTAATAACTTGTTTATAATCAATCAAACAGTTCCCACTTCCAAGATATAGTATAGTCCAAGTATAGTTATTGACAGTAATTCAGTACTCTTCTAAAAATACTTAAATATGTTGAAAATAATAAAAGTAACATCAAAGCCCTATATCGGCTGTTCCCAACCTTTCCAGCTCAGCGGACTGGCGCAAGTGGTGGCCGGGAGGGGGGGGGGAAGAGGGGATGGTTTCACGAGTGCTGCTTCCACAAATGCAGTTTTGTCTGTGCACCTGCGCTTACCCACCACTTCTGCAACACAGTTCCGAACAGGCTGGGGCCCAGCATTGGGCCGTGGACTGGAGGTTGGGGATCTTGTCCTATATCATAGAAAGTAGCCATAGAATGAATTTAGTTAGAAGTCTATGTAGATTTGGCCTTTTGAGAGTGTTATATGCACTTTGATTTTAGAATTTAGTAAGATATTGATGGCTGTAAGCACAAATTTGGTCCAACATTGGAAAAGGGACAGTTATCAACACTATCAGATTGGGGAACCAAACTTGGAGTATATGTAGTAATGGCAAAATGAACAGTAAATATCCTGAATAGAAGGTTGACTAAATTTTAAAAAGGCTCTCTATATTTCTCTATATATTGTATCATGTCACCCAATAAGGCAAACTCAGACACTGACTTCCTATTACACTGCTGTTACACTTCTTGCAGAGAATCTCTCAAGTTACTCTATCTTAGTTACATGCTTCATAACTGGATGCTTCATCAACTTCAACACTTGTTGAACTGTTTTTTGAAGCCATCATTTTGTTTAATTGTGAGAAAATCCTAAAATAATGAGCAGCTAACAATTAATAGCATGAGAAGAAACCAGATGGTTTCTAACAGCTATGGCTATTGTTAAGAATTTTGCAATCTTCTTAGAAGTTTATGAAAGGTGGTTACCCAGGAAAACAACAATAGCCTACTGGTCAGGATGGCATTTAGAGTTATTAACTTTTGGAAATATTAAACCTGATTACTATTGGGTGTAGCATGGACATTTTAGTAATGAAATAGATTCTACTTTTGAGTCTGAACAGAAACAAATTTAGCTTTCATGTGGGAAGCTTATGTATCTGTAAGTTATTGTGCTAAATAATTAGCACCCCAAATGGATCCCAAGTAAATAGTATTCTATGTGGAGCATATAAGATGTTAAACAAATATTTGGGGATAGTCCATGGAGGAGGAACAATTGTGATTTTAAAAAAGGAGGGGAAATTTGGAGTGTGACATTTTGGATATCTACATCCTAAATCTTCTGCTTTAATTCAAGCAGGGTTTTATCAAAGTCCCAAAGCAGGTAGTGCTGTGACAGAGTGAGACCACATTATACCAAATCATCGTTAATTTGTCTTCTTAGATTGGAAGACAATCTATCCAGCAAGGTGAGATGATATTTCCCAATCTAAAACAACAAAGTGCTAATTCAGCTCCAAGGAAAATGCAGCTAAATTCTAGTCATATTAGAACAGGGGTAGGCAATTATGATAATTTTACAGCCATGGCTGGCTCAGGAATTCTAGGAGTTGAAGTCCACAGGTTGTAAAGTTGCCATGGTTGCTCGCCCTTGTGTTAGAACATTGGAAACTGAATAAGGGACTTGCAGCAAAAGTTTCAAGAATGTTGGTTGGAGTGCTTCTAAATTAGGGGACTTCTTATAAACATACAATATTTTTGTGCTAGGAATTCTGCAATGGAATTTCTGCTAATCATGCTAGCATGCGTCTATGAGACAATTCCAGAAGCTTAGAGGAGCACAAAGCAGAAAAACAGGGATATTTCTAAAATGATGTAATCTGCCTTGATATAACCTTTTTTTATTTCCTATGATTTGTTAGATTTAATTGTTCAAGAGTCCAAGATATTCATACAGTCTTCTGTTTAACTCACATAATAACTCTGGCCCAAAGTTAATCAAAGAGCTTTGGTGGTTAGGATAGATTTGAACCTGAGTCGCTCCCTTCGTCAGCCAATACTTTAACCACTACCCCACACTGTCTGTCTTTTGTCTTTCTAGCCATCAGTAAAGGCAAGGATGTGTGTTTGCAATAACAATTTATGTGGAGTTCATCTCACACCACTATGGAGGCAACACCATCTGATTTTTACACTACTTTTTGGAATTGTCTGAAAAGCTTCAAATATCTTTCAAGCAATCAGCAGCTATTACCATAGTGTTCTCCATAAAATCTGTGATTTGTTGGCACTATATATATCTTTTCCTGGACTCAGTAAACTTAATTAGGCACCAAAATACTTCACAATGATTTTTTTTCCAGAGCCAGTTACCAACCAATCCTTAACATTTGTTCTTTCTGCTGTCCCTCCTATGACATCTGGGTAATATCATTTGAATTTATTTGACATTTTACATGAATACTTCTGGTAGCTTTAACTGATCCTATGTTCCTAGTTTCAAATGGTTGCTGAACAAGGTCATTAAACTATCTATCTATATGCTGAAATTTCAAAAAAAGCTATTTACCTCACTTCATTTCTTTTTCCCAATTTCTTAACAAATAGGACTCTATTGTTTTGGCTATAAAAAAGTGGCTCTTTACTTCCATAAAGTTAATTTACCCATTTCTACCAGATAAATTATTCTTAGGACTATAGTGACTTTACAGATTTTAAATTCTGTAATTGGCTTTTTTTATTAACATCTATATTCTTTTGGAATGAAAATATTTTCGTTTTTGGGCCTAACTACTACTACTACTACTACTACTACTACTACTACTATCTCTTTTATTCATTTAACATAAAATTCAGTCAACTGAACATTTAAAAAAGTATTACAAATATCATTGTCTGGCACTGGTGGCTGATACGTTGCTGCCAGCATCCTAGGTATCAACCAAGATCTTCTTAAAATGTATGATGTTCCGAGTAGCGCAGTTTTTTGCAGTTCTGCTGGTGTTATTGCAGGAAGCTGCAATTTCTTGATGTATTTTGTAAAATTCTTAGACATGGTACCAAGTGCCCCAATGACAATGGGTATCACTGTTACATGTTTCATCCATAGCCGTGTAGTTTCGATGGCCAGGTCGTGATATTTTGTGATTTTTTCCAGTTCTTTTTCTTCGACTCTGGCGTCTTCTGGTACAGCAATATGAATAAGTTGTGATATCAACTGTGATATCTGGCAGGTTATGTTCCAAATGATAATCTGTCTGTATTCAAAAGTTCCACAAGATCTTCACCATCTCATTTTCGACAATTTTTTCCACTTTATGTTCCCATGACTTTTCGGATACAGGCAAGGTGTATTTTTTACATAATGACCAGTGGATTAATTTAGCAAATCTGTCTAGCTTTGTAATCAGTTTGTGCAATTTTGCTGCACTCACATATTAAGTGTGAAACAGTTTCAACTTTGTCATTGCAAAGTCGGCAGTTTGGCTTATCAGTATTTTTCCAGCCTTCAATTGTTGAAATTTAATGTCTTCATTATTCTATCACTCTGTGCATATATTAATTAAAAATTTAAAATGTATTACCTTGAAAGGTTGTATGACCAGGATTTTAACCTTAAACATTACATATACATCAATACAGTTAGTGCCATAATAATTCAGATATGAGTTTATATCAAGTGTCCCCAACCCCCGGTCTGTGGACAGGCACTGGGCTGCAGCATGCTAGAAACTTATTTTTCTATCTTTCATGGCATTAGTTTGTAGGGCATGTTCTTGAGCAACAAATATTAAACCTTCCATTTCTTTCTTTATGGTTTCCATCGTAAGCCATGTCCATGTCAAGTTGTTTTCACACTTTCCTTTGGTTTTCCATCCATTTAATCTGTCATCCAACTATTTTTCCTTATATTCTGCCTTTGTTTCTGTTGTTTTTATAATGTTCTCTGTTTTCACAGCCTGCAGCAATTTTTCTGTACTTTGGTTCACATAATCATTCAAACTTCATTCTTCTTCTTCTACAGTTTGATGGATTTACAATAGCCCTCTGCCCCCTATTCTTTTTGACAGGTACAACCTGCCAATGTCACTTTGTGGGTGTAAAAAGTGGTACATGTAAAGCGTGTTACACTTTGTGGATGTAAAGCATGGCTTGGCATTTTGTCTACCTGTTGACTCCTTACCAAGGACCTGGGATAGGCAGATGTGGATGTTTGATTGTGTAACAGATATCCTTGCAGGATGGAAGCTGTTCCCAGTAAAGCTGCCTTTTGGAATTGTCTGATGGTAAATTTGTCAAGTTGGCTTATTATCATTATCATCATCATCATCATTCATTCATTGCACAGTCAGCCAGATGTTCAGATAGGCAAATCTAGATATTTGACAGTGTTACAGATATATTGCAGGATGGAAGCAGTTCGCATAAAACCATCTCCTCTCTCCCCCCCACTCCAGTCTGCAAAGCCAGAAAGGTTGGGGAACTCTGATCTAAGTGCTATTGCTGTTAAATGTTATATTGCTGTCTGTAATTACAATATAGTAGGGATGCAGTGGCTCAGTGGCTAAAACATTGAGCTTGTCGATCGAAAGGTCAGCAGTTCAGTGGTTCGAATCCCTAGTGCCGCATAACGGGGTAAGCTCCCGTTACTTCTCCCAGCTTCTGCCAACCTAGCAGTCTGAAAGCACGTAAAAAATGCAAGTAGAAAAATAGGGACCGCCTTTTGGTGGGAAGGTAACAGCGCTCTGTGCGCCTTTGGCATTTAGTCATGCCAGTCACATGACCACGGAGATGTTTTCAAACAGTGCTGGCTCTTCGGCTTTGAAACGGAGATGAGCACCGCCCCCTAGAGTCAGGAACGACATATGTGCGAGGGGAACCTTTACCTTTTTAATTACAGTATGGTTTTTTGTCTCTCTTTTTTTTTGTATGAATTCCTTTTCTATGAGGTTTTTGTCATATTTACTTTATTCACTATAATATGTCTAGGTTTTTCTTTCTTCATAATATCCTTTTTTCTGTTGATGCTGTCATTATTTATATTTTGCCATTAGAAAATAAAATTAAGGTATTTTGAAATTATCTACATAGTTTGACACTAGCAAATTACATTGAGGAAGGTACCTCTGAAGAAAGATAATTAAAGTGAACTGAGAGTTTCTGTTTGTGTGAAAAGTAAGAGAGAACAGGCAGGGATGTGTTATTAATGGAGTACTCAGCAAAGATACGATGCAATCCAGGGGCGGGTTTCAAAACCCATTGCTACCAGTTAGCTCGTGGGCGTGCGCTCTCTCGCGCGCACGCGCAATGCTTCTGCACATGCACAGAAGCATCCAGGCAGGTGGGCAGAGCTGGGACGAACCGGTAGCAACCCACCACTGATGCAATCTTTTCTTTCTTCCCATTCCCATAATCCAGTGGTGGTCAGCTAGGGCAACTGTGGACTTCAACTTCCAGAATTCCATGTTGGCTCAGGAATTCTGGGAGTTGAAGTCCAGAGGTCATAAAATTACCATAGTTGCCCACCCCTGCCATAATTCTTTGTACCCTAATTAAATTGTAATTATTCCTATGGGAACTGTTTTTTTGCTGAAAGGAATATATGTAGTGTTTCCTATCCAATTTGATTCCTTCAACACAATAGCATGATGATAGCAATTGGCCCAAAGTATGTAGTATCTTGAGGGTAGTTTTGAACCAGATCTCTTAAATCCTAATCCAGCACCTTAACTATTAAGCCACTCAAGGGATGTGTAAAATAGCTGGATTCCTTCCTAGGGCTTCTTCCTGTTTTTTGTCAGAAGTAAACTCTGGCAACCCCAATCAATTTTGCTTTCTATAAACTGTGTCTCAAATTACAATTAATGTCATCGCCTGTTTTATAATTTCAATAAAATTGTTAGAGTAGAGACACATGATTCTTTTCAGCATGATTTCATACAAAAGCATTTTAAAGGTTTTAATGTGTTATTGAGAATTTATAAAGATTAACATTAGGCATAGGATCATAAACTATGACTGTATTAAAATAGAGTACAATTATTCTCACAGTCCTTTCCTACCACTATATGGCTTCAAGGTGCTAAGACACCCTCATGTATTGTAGATTCACAATGAAAGTCTCTAAGAACAAGGGTTATTGTGAGGGGTATTTTTTTTCTCTTACGTTTTGTAAAATTAAATTTTCCTAACTGGTGTGTAAAATATATTGCAAAACAAGTCTCCAGCTTCTTCATTTCTGCATTCTGAAATATTTTTCCTGGGTGAAAGCTATTCATAAGGTTGGTTTTATTCCTGAATATCTAGTAAATAAGCTTATATTTGTATTATATTCTGAAGTTATACCAATCTTCTTGTGTTTTAATTTCAGACATAGCATTTTTGTCTCTGATTGCATTGAAAAACAGAAGAAACAGATAATGTTAGAAAACTGGGGAGGCCGGTGCGTTATCCCAAGCCCAACTTCAGGTAAGACAGGAGAACTGATTTTGTGACAAGTTTTTCTGTACACACAAACAATAGTATATATTATAACTGAAAATATACCTGTTTACTCTGTTAAACAAGTACGGTAAGTACATTTGAATTCATGGACCTCTTGGAAAAACCTCATCTTCTCATGTTCTATTTTTGGGGGAGGAGCAGGAAGCCCATCCACCATCCTACCGTTTTGTGTATCATTTTTTTGTATGCTTATGTGTCTCCATGCATTGAAAAATAGTTTGTGATTGTAAAAATGAAAAGAGATAAAAATACAGCTTGAATGAGATCTTCTATCGGTAATTCATTTCAACGCAACTACCAAGTTATAATTTTTATTTATTCAAACAATATATTATTTCACTGTTCCCTTTGGGAATAAGCAACAACTACGATGAGCATAGAAAAAGAGTAAAATATAATCAGCTAAAAAAAACCATTAAAGGCAAGACATTAGAAAAAGAAACGTAGCTAAATCTATTTTAAACCAAATTCATTCACTGTTCTTCTCCACATCTTGCAAATCATTCTTGTATCCCCAACCTCCATGCACCACATCATATATTGCCTTCTGTTTAGCTCTTTCTTCTTGAGGTTCTCATCAGCTTTATCCAACCGCAAATTCTTAATCTTGTCCTTCCTTCTAAATTATTTACTCTTCTTCCATAAATTTATTTCATGATATGATCCTAATTCATTCTCTCTACCTGACCAAATCACCTCAACATATTTATTTTAATAATTCATGTTTAATAATATGTAAATACTACTGGCATCTTAAGCCAACATGTTAACTATGGAGTTCATGGTTTTACTTTGATCCTTCTAACTATAATACAGGTAGTCCTCAACTTACAACCACAATTGCGACCAAAATTTATGTTGCTAAGTGAGAAATTTGTTAAGTGAGTTTTGCCCCATTTTATGACTTTTCTTGCCACATTTGTTAAGTGAATCACTGCAGTTGTTAAATTAGTAACATGGCTGTTAAGTGAATCTGGCATCCCCATTGACTTTGCTTGTCGGAAGATCACAAAAGGTGATCACTTAACCCTGGGACACTGCAACTGTCATAAATATGAGTCAGCTGTCAAGCATCTAAATATAAATCATGTGACCATCGGGATGCTGCAATAGTCATAAATGTGAAAAATGGTCATAAGTCACTTTTTTCAGTGCCGTTGTAACTTCAAACAGTCACTAAATGAACCGTTGTAAGTCAAGGACTACATGTAAATCAGGAAGAGCAAGAATATCATTCTCTTTATCCTATTTTATACCATATACAGTACCTATAAAAATTTATTAAGGTGCAATTTAATAATGCATTTTTCATCCAGTGTGCTCAGGGTAACCAACAGCATCAGTTAAAACAATACTGTGATCATTGAAAAACATAGCTTTACGATGATAGATGTTAAAGCAGCAATATAATGAAGATAAAATCATGATATCTGTGAAATATAAATTCATTTGAGAAAGAAAGTTACCATTTATTACCTGACCATTCCTCTTTGTATAGGATCCCAGCCCCTGGGAATGCCCTAGCTCTACATGAATCCATGTAGCAAAATTTCTGGAATAATGGAACCTCAGGAAATAGATTAAACAGACAGATTCAAGGGGAAATACCTTTCAAAAATCATGCTGTGAAACTATTACCCACTTTGAGCTGAACAGGAAAAGAAATGGTCCATGTTTATTTAGTTTATTTATTTGTTAAATTTATTTGCCACTTATCTCACCATAGTGATACTGTAGGTTTATAAAAACCTAATGATACTGTATAATTATAAAAAGGAAGAAAACTGATAGGCATATAAAACATAAGTAAAATAATAGAACAATAAAATAAACAATGATAAAGAAACACAATGAGATTAAATCAATATGATAACCAAAAGGATGAGCGGGTAGAGAGCGGAGAGCAAGAGTGGGGAGGTGGAGTCTGCCATCCATCTAACAGCATGTCCAGTGTGGAACTCCCCCATTTGGTCCTGAGGCCAATCAGCAGAGCCAGGTCTTCAGGCTCTTGTGGAAAGATAAGAAAGTGAGGTTAATAGTCATTTGCAACTTGTTAGGCCAAATGTTACTTCCAGGGACTTCCATGGGTATGGTGGGATGGGTCAACATGTCAACATGAGCTGCATCAAATGACAACATGAGAACTGCATCAAAGCAGTATTAGGGGTCACATGATAGCAGCATTCCAGTATTTGAGAGGTTGCCCAAAGAGCAGGGGTCAACTTATTTACCAAAGCACCTGTAGGTAGGACAAGAAACAATGGATGGAAACTAATCAAGGAGAGAAGCAACCTGGAATTAAGGAGAAACTTCCTAACAGTGAGGACAATTAACCAATTGCCATCAGAAGTTGTTGGTGCTTCATCACTGGAGGTTTTTAAAAAGAGACTGGACAGTTACTTGTTTGAAATGGTATAGGGCAGGGGTGTCAAACTCACGTCGTCATGGCGGTATCATGTCATGCATCAGGATTTTCCCCCTTCGCTAAACTGGGCATGGGTGTGGCCAGCGCATGATGTATCCGGCCCTGGTATTGGGTCTCCTGCTTGAGCAGGGGTTGGACTGGAAGACCTCCAAGGTCCCTTCATATTAATCAGAATCTATTCTGATTAATTAATTAATTAAAAATGTCATAATTACCATTCTGAATTTTTTGACACCCACAAATGTCACTATTGGTTTCTGGGTACTCAGAAACCAATAGTCCTATTCCCAAGGTAGGACATATTGCAGAAATACAGATGTTATATGTTATCTCAGCCAAGTGTGCAACTGAATGTCAATATAACTTAATAAATCAGTAATTTCTTTTACTGATTATTATTTTTTATGGCTGAAACTAAATATGCAGTAATAATTAACCTTTGTGAATTCATTAGAATTCTCCCTGATGATTTTTAGGACTGCCCTAAGAATATAAAATAATGTATCAAAAATACGATAATGTTTCAGTCTGGCGGATCTGGTTTTTTTTTTTTAATCTAGTCGTAGCTCTGAAGGCTGCAGAACATGTAGGACTGATCACTAGATCATATGGCCATGGTTTTAATCTCTCTTTGGAGAGAATGTTGGGTTTTGGGCTACAGTTTTGTTTTATTTTATTTATTACAAATAGTGCTATTATGTCTACCAATGTACTTATTTGGTGAGATATTTTATTTAAAAAGCAACATATTATGTCATCAAAACTTACCACTTCTTAATCAGATTTCAGTGTGATCATGGGGTCTTGGAAACTTTTAGAAGAAGGGCGGGAGCACACATATTATTTTTCTAATGGTTAGCTATATCATTTGGCTATAAATGCTAACATACAAACTTACTTCTCTATAGGATAAATCTTGCACGTGATACAAAAAGGCCTCTCTCACACCCACATCCGCATTCACAGATACACAATTTAATGCATCGTGCGTCTGTATGATTGTACAGTTACTATAATTCATGTATACATGTTTTTCATTTTGTATTACTTCTACTATCTAGAAGTATCTTCAAAAACATCTTCTGTGGGATCTAAGAAGATGGAAAAAAGCAAAAGTGAAGAACAATGGGAAGACGAAGTCGAAGGTCTTGTTATGTGGTCTACAAAACTTGACCAAGAAAAATTAGATTAAACAATAGTTTTCATTTCTGTTACTCTTTTAAAAAGTACTTATTTGTTAATATTCAAACATTGTCTGGGAGAAACCCAATGCAGTTCATCTGGAATATGACTATTACCATGTTTGCATTACAAAAAGCCTTTGACAGCCTGAATTACCCTGTTGATAGCTCCCAGAATACCCTGTTTATAAAAGAGTCCAAATGCCAGCAAGCCCTTGGACATTTATTCTAGCATTAAACCTAAGTTCATTTTATCAAATGGACAGAAATTCATTTAAGTTTTGCACAAGCTGAATGTTATTCATGGTAGGCTAGATAGTATAAACTGCTTTCCAAAGAATGAAGTAACTGTAGAGTTACATCATCTACTGACATCACATCACAACTTTTCCTTTTTAGTTAATAAAATGCATTATATCACTGACACAAATTGGCAAGAATGTCATTTCTGCACCAATATTCCAGGGAAATTGGCTATTCATGTTCTGTAATCAGCGTCCAGCTCTATGGGCAGTAACGTTTTTGAGTTCTTTTTCAATTCTTAACTCCTTTTCTCTGCCTTCTGTGGGAAGCTTCTTTTGGCAACATTTCTTCCAGCCTATTTTTATTTATTTTATTTATTTTATTTTATTCAATTTGTATACCGCCCTTCTCCTAGTGGACTCAGGGCGGTGCACAGCCAGAACTAAAACACATACCAAAACAAAATTTAAAATTATTAAAAGAATTACATACTTTGGCCCAAATTTAAAACAATTCGAATTAAAACCCATTGACAGATAAAAGCTAAAAAACTAAAAAACTAAAAAAACTAAAAAAATGGGGGGGGGGGGGTTTCACGCCAGCCCTGCTTGATGGAAAAGAAAAGTTTTCTGGGCACGGTGAAAAACCCGGAGATCCGATATCCTTCTTATCTCTGGGGGCAAATCGTTCCAGAGGGCAGGAGCTGCCACAGAGAAGGCCCTCCCCCTGGGGGTCGCCAGCCGACATTGCCTGGCTGACAGCACCCTGAGGAGTCCCTCTCTGTGGGAGCGTACTGATTGGTGGGAGGCTATCGGCGGCAGAAGGCGGTCCCGCAAATACCCAGGTCCTATGCCATGGAGCGCTTTAAAGGTGGTAACCAACACCTTGAAGCGCACCCGAAAGACCACTGGAAGCCAATGCAGCTCACGCAGGAGAGGTGTCACATGGGAGCGCCCCCTCGCTCCCATACTCCCCCGCGCGGCCGCATTCTGCACCAGTTGGAGCCTCCGGGTATTCCTCAAGGGGAGCCCCATGTAGAGAGCATTGCAGTAGTCCAGGCAGGAAGTAATGAGTGACTGAGTGACTGTGCGTAAGGAGTCCCGATCCAGAAAGGGACGCAACTGGCGAATCAGGCGGACCTGATAAAAAGCCCCCCTGGCCATGGCCGTCATATGCTCTTCTAAAGACAGCCATGCATCCAGGAGGACGCCCAAGTTGCGAGCCCCATCCATGGGGGCCAATAACTCGCCCCCAATAGCCAGCGATGGCACCAGCTGGCTATATCGGGACGCTGAAAGCCACTTTGCACAATAGCCATTTTGTGCAAAGCCGAATAGGAATGGGCTGTGATCTAAGCCAGGTTGCTGGCAACAACGGCACCATAAATATATAATTTTCAAAGTGATTGTGTGTATCTTCCTCTTATTCCACTACTTGGACAATGCCCTTGAGTGCAGCAAGCCAATAGTTAAATATTTTGAAGGAGATGATTATCAGAGTTCTGTCAATTCCAAGTAAAAAAATAAAGACCTCAAGAGCTGTTAATCATAAATTGGTTTTACACACAAAGAGGCCTATGAGCAGAACCAGGCTTTTCCATTTTGAACGAACGTTTTTATAGGCACTATTTTATTGCGTGCTCTTTTTATGAGTCCTAGGATCATGAGGCTTAAAAAGAGTCCACAGACAGTACTGGATGTGGGAGGAACAAAGTGTCAAGCTGAGCAGAGCTCCATATGCACATATGGGATCACTCAGAAAACATATCCTTTGTTTTAAAAGTACTTCAACTGAACACTGTACAGGCAAGTAGCAACTTTGTTAAATGAAACTAACACCACAATCTATTGGGGACGCTAATACAGGGGAAAAATTGGGCAAAGGCTTTCATTGATTTCAAAACATGTTGCCTCTCTATTTGATGAAGCTTCACCCTAAAACTGACAAACTAATACTGGACAGAATTAGCTGAGATGCATGCTTAAACCAGCCAATGCTAGCATTGCAAAGATGTTTAATTGCACTTTTTTCCCCCTAAGGAAGAATTTGGTATTGCTAACCTTTTTTAATATGAGAAAATGTTTCTTAATTCACAGCTGCTGCTATGGTAATAGAGCAGTGGCGCTAGTGCTATTTGAAAACAAGAAGAAGAGGATGAGTTACATCCAATCTTATGCTAATGGACATCTGGAGTCCTTGGTGTTCTCTGAGCTTCCTTGTTTGTAGACATTTCATTGCCCGACTAGGTAACATTATGACATTTCAACAATACAACCCTGAGCTTCCTATGCTCTTTTAATAGACATCTGCTACTCCTCCCTGAAGAAAGGCGACTTTCTGAAGCCAGTTGGGGAAGTTTGTGGGTATGATGCAAGATAAATAATCATCATTACCACAGCCACCATAATCTGTTCCCATGAGAAATGCTAATCCAGCAGCAGATCGACACCACTGACTCATAGTCTGAAACCCCTTATTTTTCTGATCCATATGAGAAACTCCTGACTGTATTCACTCCATGGCAAGCATATTAACCTGTCTTCCCAAACTCAAGTTCTGCTAAAGCATACATAATTTTGCTCCTTATGTTTTGTAAGAATCAACATTTTAAACTTCTTTGAAGGTGGAAGTAACTTTTCTCTCGCATCTAACAAAAATTGGCTGCTGTACTCTTTAAACTGACCAACCCAGTCCCTATTTTAAAATAAAAAAAGAGACATGCATGCATATGACTTCAAATCTGGATATTTTTATGGCTAAATAATACCCAGAAACAATTTCCTATATAAATTGGTGAAACCTACCCATAATATCTACAGTACTTCCATCATTTTGTAGCTTTATTTTAGTGTGACTTTGATTTCAGCAAGTACTCTTAAGCTCTGTGTCCTCTAGAAGGCGCTATTTCACTGCTATATTCACATTTTAACTCTTGAAAAACTCTTCCGGCACTGTTCTAATGAATAGATTTAAAGTAGCTGGTCTGAGCACTTTCCAGCTGTTAGTTATCTATGCAGATTGAAACAAAAACCCAACCATTATTGATGCAAAAGACTACATCTCTGGGTATGAGAATGTGTTGCTGAGCATGAAGGTATGAGAAACAGCCTATTATATTTTTGTTAATATAATACCGTATGTTAAGTGTTGTATCTAAAATTCCTGGGAACAATATAATAAATGTTTATACATATGCACAGTACACATATAACCACTGTTGTTCTACAAAATCACTTTTAATAGAAAATTTAGGAACATTAAATGAAATACATCAGTATAGTTTAGAAGTGTTCACAGAGGAAGTACTTGGTATTAAAAGCATAATGGCATTATTTTCCTCTAAAGGTGATCCTTCCTCCATTAAAGTCAAATATAAAACTTTCATTAGTTTCAGCAGTTGCTTGTATCTTGAAGTTGAAAGTTAACAAGTCTGTGCAGAAGAAAATAAAATAAAGCATCTCAATGCTAATGCTATTTGATGAGCATGGTGGTTGTTTCCTAAATTGATGCCCAGTAAGAAAAAGGTAGACGAGAAAGGCAAAACTAAAAGCAGTTTACAAGGAAAGGAATTAATTTAAGAGTGCAGATGAAAGTGTAAGAATGAGCCATAGAACTTCAACCCTTTGAATGTAATGGATCAGAGACATTTTAAAAAAATTAAATTCATAAGAAATTCAATAGGATTAGAAAAACTATTGTTCCTCTATAGTGGCAAGACTTCATTCCTCTGGTACAGTTTATTCCTCACTGCATGAAGTCTGACTGAGCTTCATTTTTGCCCTCTGTGTAATATCTTTGACAGTTTGTAAATTGGGGAATAGAATTATAAAATGCCTTTCTCTCTCTGTCTCTTCTTTCTTTCTACATGAGGTATTTGTTCATAAGGCTGTATGGCAGAAATTGATGGCAGAACATAGTTAAGTGTTTACAGTTATCTCTGCCTTACCTTAGAATGTTTCAGCTACTGATTTTTTTAAAAAAATTAAAAAATTGAATAGTTTGAAAATGTGTGCATTTAAAGAAGAAAAACAACACTGATATTTTTCATATGTCTTATTTAACGCCTACAACTGTTTGACTTTACTTTGTACTTTGTTACCAAGATCTGCAAGAGCCATTCAGTCTGAGATTCTCTTCAATAAATGTTAGAGAACAACAGCTATAAATTTGATCTCTTAAACCTTAGAAGCTTTTGTATATTCTTAGAATAAACTAGTTCAAATTTCATCAACTGAGTTAGTGGATAATCTCTCTAAAATTACAAGTATTGTAAACATTTGTGAGACTGCCCTATACTTCTTTTTAGTTAATTTAAAATTGATCGTAATCAAATCCAGTGCCAGTATTGTTCCATTAACATTCCTGAAATAGCTGTGTATTTATCATTCTCATACTAAAATAAAAGTATTAATTAAAATGTGTAGGAAATTCCCAGTGATTGCTCTTTTTTGCTTTTATTATTTCTACTTGGAATATACTTATAATGGAATAGTTCAGTGCATCCCAATATACAATCCACTAAAAAACAGCTGTATGTTTTCTCATTCATATGATTGTTCTGGTATTTGTAAGATTTTTTAAAAAGAAAGATCTAGCAATATTTCTGAGAAATACTTCAAGATTAACAGTAAAAATTATTGATACATTTTAAACTTCTTATAGGCCTTTTCTATCTGCTTGTTTATTTTTTCCTCACTTTATTTTGTTAAAAAAAAAAAAGATGAATCAGTTTAAAATGAACATTCAGAGAGATATCGTGCAAATTCCAGAATGCACATATTTACATGTTAATGTAATAAAAATCACATCTATATCAGTTATCACTGCAGTTAACAGAATACTGTTTATCTGTGATACATTTTTCATCAAAAAGCTCAATTAATTCCTTCACAAGGCCACTTAGATTATTCTATTCTGATTGTAGAACTGGATTGGGTCCCTTTTGGATCAGTTTTATATGCATTTATTTATTTTATTTATTTATTTATTGCGATTTATATGCCGCCTTTCTCCCTAGGGACTCAAGGAGGCTTACAAAATGACAACTTCAATACAAATCACAATACAATACAAAATTAAAATCAGTAACCCAATTAAAAAACAATTTAAAATTATACCAGTGTACCCCCAAACGGATCAGTTTAATTGGCGGAAGAGCCACGTCTTCAGCTCGCGACGGAAGGAAAGAAGGTTTATTCTATTTAAAAAAAATTGTTCCGCCAGATTATGATGATTGTTGGAAGAAATATCCATCTGGGTTCAGTTCCATTCCCCACATGTGTACCCCACTCCCTGTGCATGCGTGGCAGAGACCCGGAGACCAGCTGGCTGGCGGAAGTTGCACGCACATGCTTGGCAAAGCCAAGCTGGGGCGACAGCTCGCGTGCCACCTATGGCACGCGTGCCATAGGTTCACCATCACGGTTCTAGGAGAAGGGTGGGTACTAACTTTTTGCATGATTTTAACCTTGGCTACCATCTGAGACCATCTGTCCTATTTTACTTTTTATTGGAGGCTTTATATGTGTTATTGTCCTCTTCACATCCCAGGAACCAATATTATATCTATCTAAATATTAAATCCGATTATATATAAACAATATATGGTGTCTATTCCCAAGTTATTCATTTTTCCAAGAACTAGGCCTTTTACAGGTAGTCCTCGATGTAAGACCACAATTGAGCTCAACATTTCTATTGTTAAACAAGACAATTGTTAAGTGTCCCATTATCCCATTTTATGACCTTTCTTGCCATAGTTGTTAAGTGAATCACTGCAGTTAAGTTAGTAACACTGTTGTTAAATGAATCTAGCTTCCCCATTGACTTTGCTTCTCAGAAGGTTGCAAAAGGTGATCACGCAATCCTGGGACATTGCAACTGTGATAAATACATTTCAGTTGCCAAGCGTCTAAATTTTGACCATGTGACCATGGGGATGTTGCAATGGTCATAAGTGTGAAATGAAGTCACAAGTCACTTTTTTCAGTGTTGTTGTAAGTTCAAACAGTCACTAAATGAATGGTTGTAAATCAAGGACTACCTGTAGTTGGATTCTAAAGGCAATAAGGCACACAAAATTTCAAGCAACACTGGTTAATTCTTAGGACTTTTTTAATGGCTAGTAAGTTCATTCATCATTATAAGATTCAGTGCTTTAGAATGCAGGTTAATAAAAAAAAGGCCAATAATCATCCTCTAATCAAGATGAGCAACTAACATTAGTTTCAGTACGCATATAAATATGTAAATAGAAATATGTATAAAATAGAAATATATAACACAAAATATTGAATGTTGTAAAGGTTTTATATTCATAGAACGTTATAGGACTTGTTACTGCCAGGCTGAAGCCAGTTTACATTTCTGATCCCTGAGCAGAGAACAGACTTAAATATGCTAATTACAGACAGGCAGTCTCAGGCATCTTTCCTTCTGCTGTCGTGAGTAAGAGTCATTCTTTGTAAGTGCCATGTGGACTTTTCCTCAATTAAATGTGCATTTGTTCTCCACCCTTTTGCCTGTTTAAAAAGTGGAATAAATGAAAATTGTTGAAAAATGTTCAGGAAAGAAGGTGAGCTAAAGGCATCATCCTTTAAAGACATCTAAGGAGACGCTCTCTCTCTCTCTCCTAAATGTCATCCAGGAAAGATGACATGTCTGTCTACACATTATTTTATAGATATGATAAACGATGCAAACAGGAACCTGCATGACATGTTAAAATTAAGAATTGCTATTGAGTTAACCTATTCTCCTTTTGGGGAAAGCTTCAAGCAAGTTCAATGCTAAATATTTCTCTTTTTCTTATCTGGCACATTTCTTCCTTTCAAGATGATGAATTTTCCACTCCTAATTTCAGTTCAGCTTTGAAAAAAAGGTCCTTCTTCTCCCCATATGTTCCTATTTAAAAAAAAAAAAGCCAGCTGTGGAATAGGGAAAGGGAGAAAGTGTTGTATATTTTCCATTCAGATTTATTTTTTATTGAATAGCACCTCTCCTCGTGGGGAAATAAAACTGGCTTTATAGAAGAATGCCTATTAAAGCAGAAAGACAAAGTGAGAAAAGCAAAGATATATGAGATGTCTATGCAGATTCTCAATCATCCAAGTCATGGTTGCCCCCAAGCTATTTTTTTCCAAAAGGCAGCAGGACTTACTTGGGTTTTGATTTGAAAATGTTTCAAAGAAAAACCCAAGAAACGCCAGTTGCCTTTTAGAAAAAGCACCTTTGGAAGGATGTGAAATGCTCTTGTGCCACTTCTTATAAACCTTTGATTCAACAAGTAATAAAGGCCAGTTAAGGCAGGGTGGAAAACCAGTGGTGAGGAGAACAGAGCCACTGGCAAAGGAAGGACTCTGCCAGGATTGCTATTAAATGATAAAGTTTGTCCACCAGGAAGAAAAGATGCCTAGAGCAGCCCAAATGGCTGAAGGATAAACAAACTTCAACAACAGCCAATAGAGAAAGGATACTACCATTCATCTGAAGGAGGGGTGGGACTACATTACAACCTTTTCAGACTCTCTCTCCCAAGTTCATGTCTCGGTTTGGAAAGTGCCCCTTAGCACTGCATAGCAAGATAATTGCTACAAGAACAGCCATAGACATCATAACATGCTATGAACATTATGGCCACTGTGTCCCGATAGAGACATAGAGATCCAAATATGTGTAGTTATGGATTTCCTCATTTGCACTTTGCTGAATGAAATCAAATGAATGAAGGCAAATATACATATCCCAGGAGTAATGTTTCAGGATCCAATCTGGCTAGGTAACGGGGACCAGAGGTTTAGTCTTCCAAGCTTTCAGACTCATGCTGGAGCCCATGGGAACTTTGTTCTACGAGAATGTGAGAGAAGTTCCCTCAGGATGGGCTCTAGTATGAGTCGGAAAAGTCTGAAGGCTAAACCTCTGGTCCCAGTAACGGGTCCAGATTGGATCCTGTGAAATCAAATGAGTGATCATAGCTTTCTATCTACCTCTCTAATACATTAACGCATTGGATAGATACTGTTTTACTCTGGGGTGCAGCACACAGATAAAATATTTAATGTGCTTGCATGTCAGAATGGAAACTGATTTCTGATTCTTCCTGGAAAATCAATTAAAAAAAAAATATTTTAAGAAAGTAGAAAAATTGTTAATGTGATTTCTAAACCAACTCATACCAAATTCATTGGTATGAATTTAATGACAATTGTTCCAATGTTTTTTTGACAAAAATATTTTCAAATTGCATTTTTTATTGTAAGCCATCCAGAGTTACTCAGTTCTGTAGAAATGTGAGGAATGAATGTATTAATAAATAAATTTATTTATTTATTTATTATATTTCTATACCACCTTTCTCCCGTAGGACTCTAGGCGGTGTACAGTCAAGAAAAATATAGACACACAAACATCATAAAATTGCTAATTAAAATTATTACTTAGTTTGGTCAATTAAATAAAACCCAGAATTAGATAACATTTTAAAAAAAAATCATTCACATGTTCATATGTTTAGCCCCGCCTGTTGGAACAATAATGGTAGAGCTGACTAATGTTTATGCTGAGCCTAAAAAAAGCTGCTGCTGGAAATTTCCTCAATCCGCTTGAGCCCAGAAATGCAGATAAACTCAAAGTGAAGATAGCTGAGTTAGGAAATGCTTGCTGGGTGGTAAGTTTACTATCCTTTCCTTACTGAATGCTAATATTACTAAATCTATGGTGAATTATTTCTTCTTCTAGTTATTCTTATCATATTCCTGGATTCAGCTGCTCTGTAAAAAAACAAAAAACAAAGATACCCTTAAATCAATTTGATTTCTAGGAGTCCACTGATCATAGATCATGTCAATTTTGGTATATTTAGTCTACTGTCCTAGTATTTCTCAATGAAATTCCATTGAAGTCTTAACCTATCCTAACCCTTTGTGGCTTCTGTGGCCAAAAATAGCCAGTTGTTATACCTACCATTATTATATAACTATAATGCATCTGGTTCCAAGGAATATATCCTGCAAGGTGTGAGGTTTGTTGATCAAACATGACTGATGCCACCACAATTTTTGAATTCAAAATCCCACTCAATGCATCTGCAAACAAATAAAACAACATGCATATTAACCTTTTCTTTCTGCTTTTATGTGACCATAACTGAGAACATCTGTGTAAAGAGAATATGTTTTCCCAAGGCCTGGTAATACAATCCTATTGTTTTTAAGTAATAAAATCTGTTGCATATTTTAACATTGCAAATCTCTCTGTGTCTATCTCTTATATTGAGATTCCTTTTCAACATGAAATTAAGAGTTTGGATTGATTCAAACAATTTAAAAGCAAAGATAATAAAATCATCTTAGATTCAAGTAGTAGGCCATCATATTCCCTAAGATTTAAAATTGCAGCTAATTCATTTTAAAATCATATTCCTAGTGAAGCTGAAAGTTTTCAGTGGTCATGTGAAATACTCTACCATATCATTCTTGTTCATGTATAAACTGATTGTTATTACAGTTGCCAATTGCCATCAATAAAATTTGTGGCCAGCATTGAATATGAGCTGATATTTCCCATATGCACATCCAATATTTTCCCTACTTTAGTCTGTATATCCATGTTTGTGTTTAGGAAAGAATAGGCTAGATGCTACCATAATTATCTAGTCCAGACCATATGGTGTAGAACAGAGGTGTCAAACTCGATTTTATTGACGGCTGGATCAGCATTGTGGTTATCCTTCGGGGGCTGAGGGGAGGAGGTGCATGGCTGGGGTGGTTGCGGCTACTGGGCATAGCCCGGAGGCATTGCCAGCTTGATGTTGCTTGCATGAGTGGTGCCTGTGACGCCCAGGCGGGGTTGGGTGGGGAATCCAGGGGTCTCCGGTGGGTGGGGCAGTGGGTGGGAGGCTTGTCCCATTAGGTGAGGTGAGGCAGGGGATGGGGCAGCTACAGCTGGTGTGTCTTTACTTGACCCCTGCCAGGCTGGTCTGGTGGGGGGGATAGCCTTCCGTCTTCTCTGCTGCATCACGAATGGGGATTCGTGATCCCCATCCCCCAAGCCCTGATGTTGGGCTGAGATGATTTGAAACATTCATATCCATATCTCCTCTTTAGGTTGGCATGCTTTGACAACTGTGCTCTTTTATTACATAACTATAGCCCCTCCTTTACATAATAACACGTTTGTCTTGCATTGCCTCCATCCTCTTCCTCCAGCTCCATCGCACATGCGGGACAAGCCTCCCCCATTGGCCAACCGGACAAGCCTCCCCCATTGGCCAACCTGACCCTGGGTGAACCGGTTGTTAAATTACCCCCTGCTATCAAAATGGATCCTGGGCACTGCGCTGCAATGGAGAAACGGGAAACAGAGCATCCGGCATGAAGGAAGGAGGAGAAGCAGGGAGAAGAAAGAGGGAAAATGGCCTTCTCCTTCCCTCGCGCCGGCCATTTCATTGCCCATTTTTCCATTGCAGTGCAGCGCCTAGGATCCACTGTGATAGCGGGTGGTGGTGGTGGTGTAATTTAACAAGTGGTTCACCTGAACTGATGCGAACCAGCTGAATCCCACCACTGGTAACTCTCCTACCGGGACTTAGGATTCTTTTATCTAATCATTGTCTTGGTAGGCATTTCCCTCTTCTCATGAGGACTGGAGGGTCATTCCATAAGGAAATAAGGGGGGGGAATCCCAACCTCGAGTGCATGCATCCACCTTTGCCCACCTCAACTCTGTTTTTCCCCTCATACTGTCTGAACATCATCAGGGGTGCAAAGTCTTTGTACCTTTCCTTCATCATCCAGACAAATCTGATTCTGGAAGAATGATCCGGTGAGTCCCTCCCTCCCTCTTCACTTTCCATGCTTCAGAAAATACTTGGGTGTCAGCATTTGTGGTTTCCCAAGAGAACTGCTTAAAAATCAA